TTCCATGTATGGTTAATACAATTATTCCTTATTTGTGCACATATACTTATAATTATATTTTTGATAAAAATCTTTTTGCTAAAACGCCATCAGAATGCTGATAATATTAAGTGTGTCTCAGCCCCACCCCTTCAGTGTCCACCATATTGGATCAGTCCATTTGCTGCACATGTTCAGAAAGGTCCAAACAGACAGCAGCAAACCATTTGAAAACAAACGATGCAAAGAGCAGTGTTGCCAACTTAGCGCTTTAGTCGCTATATTTAGCCACTTTTCAGACCCCTCTAGCACTTTGATTTCTAAAAAGCACCTAGTGCCAAATCTAGAGACTTTTTTCTGCTACTGGAGACTTTGGAGACAACATCTAAAAGCAGCGAACTCTGCTCTCCAGAGCAAGAAGTTTGGTAACCCCGCCTCCTGCTCTCCTCTATCTTGTCTGCTGTCATGATTCATGCAGCTATTATTTCATCCAAATGAAAAATGGAGAACAGAGAAGCAGATCATGGCTTGTCTACAGTGAAAAGAAGGACTGGGTTATTTACTTTGGCCTTTTTGGAAACACAGGAAGGAGCAATCAGCTAAGTGAGCTTAGTGCTAGGAAAAAATCTTTCATTCCTTTAGAGACAGCATGAAAATTCAGCTGAGAACAAAACATTGAGAGGAAAACAAGAAGAAAAGGGACAAGAAGAGAGGGACACAACCTAGAACAGATAATGGATGTCTATTCTATTAACATTTCTCTATCTGTAGAATGGGTCTGTTTGATGTGTTGTCCTCTCAATTCAGAGGGCCCCCCTGCCTGTCTTTGCCTAGGGCCCCAAATTTCCTAAATCTGCCCCTGTTTACAAGCTTTTTGCTTAACTTATGATGTCCTTCATGTTATAAATACAGTTGGCTAAAACATTTGGAGATTGATTTTGATTGTTTAAAAGATGCTTATTGGTTCATTAAAAAAGACTTTATGAAGAATATTAACTTCTGTGGACTGAAGCTCATCTATTCTGGATAGACTCTGTTAAATATGGCTAAACCTGCTCTAAAAGCTTTGTATACACACTAACACTCAACATTTTCCTTTTTGTTGGTTTCAAAGTCCAATGATTCCTTTTTCCTGTTGAAGCTAATTTTTTGCTGACCAAAGCAGGGTCCTGGAAGTCAGCCCTGCTTCCACAGACTGGCCTTCACTGTCTTCAGTCCTGTCAGCGATGGACACTGACAGGGTCCACGCCGCTCTGCCTGACCCGCCGAGTCACAGCGAAGACTTAATGCTGGAAGAGAAGGCCTTTGGGAATTTCTTTGCTGAGTTAGAGTCTGTGGAGCTGCCTCTGGGGACCACTTTGAGGTAAACTTCTGATACAACTTTAACCAATAAGATTAGTTTAAAGATTAAAACAATGAGCTTGTGTGGGAGATCAAATAAAACTAATTGTCCCTCCATCTGCTGGGCGTCAGAGGAAGCTTTCAGGTTGGAGCTGAGACTTAGGGGACGTTCAGAGGACAGCATTGGGAATTTTTATTGGATCCATCCTGATTATTAAAAAATAAACAGCATTGTTTGTAAAACTGCTGGTAAGAAATTAACAGAGTTCCTCCTGGAAGATGTAACAGCAGGCTGAGGTTAATGCAGCCTCCATCAATAAAAACAGGATGGCCTTCTAACCTCTGACAGCGTGGCTATTATTGCCTTTCTGCTCTTTATAAATACAGATTACCAGATGATCCTTTACATTTTTCCTTTAAACACTGGATAAATTAAAGTGTTTTGGTCTGTTAGTTTCATGGTATAGATGTTATAACAATGTTATAACAACATGTTAGAACATCTAGAACATGTTCTAGATGTTCTCCAAACAGAGTCCCACTGCTGGGCCCTGCAGTGAATGATTGTCCAGCTGGCTGCAGAGCGCCCCCCACCGGCTGAGGCTCAGCACTGCGCTGCTCTCTCCCTGAACATAACAATCATGGCGGACAGTGAAACCCTGGAGTTTGTAACGGAGCACGAGCGGATCCTGCAGGAAATCGAGAGCACCGACACGGCCTGTGTGGGCCCCACGCTCCGGTAAGAGGCGGCGGGTTTGATCAGTGTTGTCCGGGAAGCAGAAGCTGAGGCGCGCGCGTTAGCAGGGCAGCTAGCATCCTCAGCGGGATGAAGGAGATGCTACACGGAGAGCAGAGCTAGCAGAGCTCTGGAGACACAGCAGAGAGCGGAAGTTAGAGCGGACATCTTGGAGGATTTTAGCTGTTGGTAAAGATGCTGCTGAATGAGGGGAGATGTCAGTGGGTGGTCTGTCTGTCTGTCTGGCTGTCTGTTCCTCCACTGCTAGCTCAGGGCTAACTGATAATAAGCTGACCTAACATCCAGCTCAGCCGGACTGGAGCCGCTCCCTCCTCCGGCCGGAGCCGCTCCCTCCTCCGGCTGTTTCCGAGCATCCTGGATCCTCTGGCTGCCAGCTGCTAAGGCCGCAGTGGATGACAGGCTGCCGGTAGCGGGTCGGTGCCTCCAGGCGGGGATGGAGGATCAGTGGATGGAAGCTGCTGGATGAAGCTCCTCTGATCGCTGGACCCATCCTCCAAAAGGCGGATATCACTGCGATAAATGACAATAACTAGTAAAAAAAAAATAAACAACTTTTATTTCCAGCAGATCCTAAATCTCCATAAAGACACCCAGAAACAATCAGCATCGATCAACCATGATGTTCTAATTTTCAGGGACTTAAGACTCTTAAAATAAAGATAAATTCATCGCTTTGACACAGACTGGCTGTTTCACAGCATCAGTAGATTAACTTTAACTTAGAATAAATAAATAGGCCCATCACATTGAATAGTCATTATGAAGTCTATAAATCATGTAATATAACATATTATCAGCATAGTAATTGAGATGTGCCAAAAATGTATGATGTACATCTAATATATAACTATTCATTACATTATTGTGGCCATTGCATCTTACATAGCAGGTAATGCATTTTATTTAAATGTTTGAGCTACTTTTTTTCCCCTCAATATAAAATGCAATATATTTCAGCTCATGACTTTTTCAAATAAGAAATTCAACAAACGCTCCAAAAATGACAGCATGATCCATTTAATAAAGACTGACTATATTGACATTTCACAGTGAATTACTTTCTATTTCCTCTACTTTCTATTTTCTAACGTTAGACCCAATGTCAATGGCTAACTCAGTCAATGTCTTCCATTCAGTCTGAGATAGCCAGACTAATGTTAGTCTACAGACTATACTATAGGATCCATCGGCTATAAATGGATTTATTGGTTAGTTCATCCACTGACGGGGAAATTACCTGTGGAACGTCTTCCTGCAGACAGGAAACTGCTGGTTTATGCAGCCAGATGCTGCACAGGGAGGCATTTTACTGCACGTCTCAGTGGGAGTGGGGAGTACCAACATGGTGGACGATGGCTTCACTTTTTTCAGGCAACCAGCAATCAGTGAATAAAAATAGATCAGTGGTGGGGACAGGGGTTGTCATAGCAATGTGGAATCTGTTGATTTCAGTTTCTACCAGTTGTTTTCCTGACTTAGAGCTGAGGGATTTCAGTTAGAGGTGCAGCATATTTTGTCTCATTTTCTTACAAACTCTAAAACCTGAATTATGATTGTGAAATAATTTATGTTTTTAGAATATCCAAAATGTATTTTTCCCCTTTTGTTCTACTATAAACACTTGATGCTAGGATAATTTAGGATAATTTGTTATTGCATGGTCAAAATGGCAACAATGATATTTAAAGGGGGTCCCTATGTCCTCCAGCAGTCTAAGCCTATAGCAGCATAACTATAGAGATAGCTCAGGATAACCTGAGCCACTCTAACTAGAAGCTTTATCAAAAAGGAAAGTTTTAAGCCTAGCCTTAAAAGTAGACAGGGTGTCTGCCTCACGGACTAAAACTGGTAGTTGGTTCCACAGGAGAGGAGCCTGATAACTAAAAGATCTGCCTCCCATTCTACTTTTAGAAATTCTATGAACCACTAGTAAACCTGCAGATTGAGAGCGAAGTGCTCTGTTAGGAACATAAGGAACAATCAGATCTCTGATATAAGATGGAGCTTGGCCATTTAAGGCTTTATATGTGAGAAGGAGGATTTTAAATTCTATTCTGGATTTAACAGGAAGCCAATGAAGAGAAGCCAGGATAGGAGAGATATGATCTCTATTTTTCATTTTCATCAGAACTCTGGCTGCAGCATTTTGGATCAGCTGAAGGCTTTTAACTACAGTTTGTGGACTTCCTGATAGTAAAGAATTACAATAGTCCAGCCTTGAAGTAACAAATGCATGGACTAGTTTCTCAGCATCACCCCTGGACAGGAGATTTCTAATTTTTGCAATATTCCTCAGATGAAAGAAGGAAATTCTAGAAACCTCTTTGATATGGGATTTAAATGACAGGTCCTGATCAAAAACAACACCAAGATTTTTTACTTTATTATCTGAAATCAGTTTAATCCCATCCAAATGAAGTGACTGACTAATCAGCTTCTTTTTCAGAGACTCTGATCCAAAGACTATAACTTCTGTTTTGTCTGCATTCAGAAGCAGAAAGTTAAGAGTCATCCAGGTTTTTATGTCTTCAGACATGCCTGTAACAGTGGAAATTAATCCCATGCTGTCTAATAACTCTACCGATTGGGAGCATGTATAAAGTAAAGAGAATTGGTCCTAGAACTGATCCCTGTGGTACTCCACAGGTAACCTTTGAGCATGAGGAAGATTTATCATTAACGTGAACAAACTGAAATCTATCAGATAGATAAGATTTAAACCAGTCTAGTGCTGTTCCTTTAATTCCAACAAATTATTCAAGTCTTTCTAAAAGAATATTATGGTCAACTGTATCAAATGCAGCACTGAGATCCAACAGGACGAGCACAGATACAAGTCCATTATCTGAGGCCATGAGAATATCATTAGTGACTTTCACCAGAGCTGTTTCAGTGCTATGATGAGCTCTAAAGCCAGACTGAAACTCTTCAAATACTCACATACCTGCTATGGTCATAAACCATAGAGGGAGGCCATTAAAGTTCATCTTATAAACACAGACTTTGGTTTAACTTTGCCTGTATTTACATGTTCCGTCACTCAGCATGTAAGGCGATCCATCCAGGCTGCCGTAGTTTCCTGTTACAGAGGCAGACCTTCATCAGAGTAAATCAAAGCTTTGTGCCAATGTCTCTTTAAAAACAGGGGCCTCCATTTTGTTTTGTCGGTTTGATAGTGGAATATTTCCGCCCCTGCAACAGGTTCCTGTCAGGCCAGATGAATGAGGAAGCCATAAACCCTGAGTGGGGTCATAGACGCCATCATCATGCTGACTAATCAGTAACTTAGGCTTCACCCTGCAGCTTTAATCATTAATGCTGGGTTTTCAAACTACTCTAAAAACCTGGATTATATTCCCGACTCTTCTGTCTTTGGTCTATTTATGTATGAATATATTGTGTTTAGGGCTGAAACTATTAATTGGATTAATTGATTATTGAAATAATCAACTAATTTAGTAATCAGTTAATTGTTGACTGCAGTATAGAGACTCTAAAACAGGCCTTTAGCTGACACTTTAAGTCGGGCATACACTGTATGATTTTTTTGTCCTTTTCAGGCCGATTCGCCAGTTGTGCGGAAATTTTCTTGACTGGTTCGACTTTCAGCCTGATGCTGCGTGGTCTAGTGTACGGGGGTAACGAGGAGCGATCAGCCTCTAACGACCACCTCCCCATCAGGAATCGTGAGGTCGGCAGAAAATGAAACATGTTTGAAATTCAGGTGTTGTTAGGTAAATCCTGCTGTTGAAGCAGAGCTACAAGCCGATTTACCAGAACCTTAGCTCTGAGCATGAGCATGAACAAGGGAGTTCTTCTTCCAGATTGTGGGGTCCGATCAGCTCCATCTCTTGGCGCTGAGTCTGACATGTGGTTTTTTAGACATACAGTGTGAGCAGGTAGATCGCATTAGAGCTGACTTTATTTTTACAGCTGATACAGATCCTAGTGATGTAACTTTAGTCGTAGAAGGCCTGTTGATCATCCTCCCTCACCTCCAGCACAGAGCGCCGTCTGTCACTGCCCACTGCCCAGCATCGGGGCTTTCAGAGGGGGGAGATTTAGAAGGAAGAACCACTGAATCCGAGCCGTGTCTGGATGAACCAAAGTGGATCTTTTTTTCAGAGCTTTGGGCCTTTTTCAGAAATGATTTTTATATTCTCTTTAATGAAGCTCTAACCTTTCAGTCTATCTGCTGAGTGTTTGTCATGTCAGTGAGCTTACAGCTTCACGCAGCTGAAACTCCTCCTACTTGATGAAGCGGTCCAGGGTATAAACTCTGCATCTGAAACACAGAGCGAGGAACTACCTGCTGGAGGAAATCACCGCCTCGGTCTGAATGCAGATTTATTTATATTTCTATTTTCATACGTTGGCTTTGGCATTTTGTTCCTCCTTCTACTTCCTATCTCCACAGCTGCACCTTATTTACAGGAATATGAAGCTAAATAGTCAGAAGATGCTCAGATCTCTCTGGGATTTCACCAGATTTGATGAACATTTGAGGGAAGTTTCTGGGGTAAAACAGGGCGATTAATTGGTCCTGTTTTTAGTAAAGGCCGTAGCATTGCTAGCTAAAAGCCTGGATTTCATGCAGTTATTTCGTAAAAAAAAAACTGCTGTTGATGGATGTTTGGCTCTTTATCCCTGTTCCTCTTGTTAGCTGTTAAACTGAGCGATTAGGAGCTTTTAGGAAATCAAATCATCTGACTGACTTTCTGGGATTGTTAGAAAGTGAAAATCCTCCTATTGGCCACAGGAACTGGTTCCATCTCAGAGCTGTTGAAGTGTTTGATCAGAAATCGTGATTTAATGTTTCACCACTGATGGTGTGTTGGTTGGTTGGTGGAAGGATGGCTTCATGTTCTGCGACTCCTTCCGTCCTCAGGCATCTTTTTCTGTTCTCCTTACTTTATTTTACTCTGCATGTTTACTGTTTTTGAAGGACTAAACTGTGTTATAAAAACCTGAAATTCACTGTTTAGATAGTCTAAATGATGCTACTTGTTCCCCCCTTTCTCTCCTTTTCTATAAGCGGGCCACAGTGGATCAGCTTATCAGCATTTATATCGCATGCAGACAACCATAGCTGAAGTACTGCATCCAGGTTTCCTTTACGGCTGCGCAGACGGTCATTACTGATGTGTATAATGCAGTTCTGGTCCGTTTTTAATTATTCTGTGGATGTTGGTCTAATTTAACCTTTGAACAGCTTTGATGGTTGAGAAAAGTTTTGATCTGAATAGATCTGCAGGTCCTTCTGCTCTGATCTGAAACTAAACTGCAGGAAACTCAGGAGGAAAACTCATTTCATTCAAACATTAACTGAATATGCTCTTAGCTGGAATAAAGTCAGCCAATCAGACGCTTGCTCTTTGCAGCATGGCGTCCAATGAAGGAGCAGCAGGAGGCAGACTCCTCTCTCCCTGAAGATGGCTGCCTCCGAAGACGCGGCACACGGACAGGGTTGGTCTGTGGGTGGTGGGGGTCGGACCTGCTGCCTCCTCACTCTTCTCTTTGGGGAAGAGGAGCAAACCGAGTTCTGATGCAATCGCCTGTAAACCTGGAATCCTAGAACCAAACCTTCCAGCCTTCTCTAAGGGAAACCGCTTTCCTTGTGCTCCGATGAGAACGTCCCACCTGGCGTCACTAGATGGAGCCATTGTCCCTGAAATGATAAGAAATCATTTACCGTGACCCTCTCTCAGGTCGGCTGCCTCTAGTTAGTGTCTACTGTCTGTCCCTGTCATTGGAACGGTGTCTGCAGGTCCTTAATCAGAGCAACTCTCTACGGCATGGGGTCTCTAATGGTTCTCAGTCTAACCCAAAGATGGAGCGCCATGGAGGGATCAGGGGTGACGGAGTCCCCAGGCATCAGGTCCAAATGAAAACCTTGGTGTGAAGCAACAACTTAAAGGCTTTATGAAGGGAATTCTGTTCATTTATTGCTGAAAAGATTGCATTTTGGACATTTGAAATAAATAAAATTCAGAAAAGGTTTAGAGAACATCTTTGCTCTTTTCTGCGGAAGAGGATTAGGGCCACTGGAAAAAAAAAAGTTTACTGATTTTAAAATTTTATTTCAGTTTAGTATGGGAAAAAAGTTCTGACTTTGATCTCAGAATTCTGACTTTAATTCTGAGATTAAAGTCCGAATTCTGACTTTAATTCTGAGATTAAAGTCCGAATTCTGACTTTAATTCTGAGATTAAAGTCAGAATTCTGACTTTGATCTCAGAATTCTGACTTTGATGTCAGAATTCTGACTTTAATTCTGAGATTAAAGTCCGAATTCTGACTTTAATTCTGAGATTAAAGTCCGAATTCTGACTTTAATTCTGAGATTAAAGTCAGAATTCTGACTTTGATCTCAGAATTCTGACTTTGATGTCAGAATTCTGACTTTAATTCTGAGATTAAAGTCAGAATTCTGACTTTTTTCCCATACTAAACTGAAATAAAATTTTAAAATCAGTAAACTTTTTTTTATTTTTTCAGTGGCCCTAATCCTCTTCCGTACTTTTCTCTAATTGTTTTTTTTTTTTTCATTTTTACGTCCAGAAGAAGGTTATTTTATTAATTCAGTTCTGTTTGGTTTATTTCTATAGCTCCAATTCACATCCTGTCATCTCAGGTCACATTATAGATTCAGGGCAACCAGATCATCCAGTCAGATTGGAAAACCAGCTGATTGCATCGACTAATTGACTCTTCAGCAATCCCTCACGCTACACATGCTTGTAGAGACAGTTTAAGGAAAGTTTCTGTCTGTCTGTCTGTCTGCATACAGGATAACTTGAACTGCTCTGAATGGATTGTAATGAAAGGTATTAAAAGGTCTATAAAGGTATGCAGGTATTAACTAAAGGTGGAGATGAGCTGCTTGGTGGAGATCTGCGCTCTCTGAAGGCTTCTCTAGTTTTATTTTTACTTTTTATAGATTTCATATTTTCAGAATTTATTCCTCAAAGTTTTATGGCTGCTATTCTTTTCATGTTGAGTGTTTTCCAGATCATATTTGGTGATGAAGATTCTCAGTCATCCAGGTCCGAGTCATTCCAAAAAAGTTCAAAAACAATCCACTGGACTTTGTTTCTAAGTTTGAAGATGTTTCTCTTCCCATCCAGGAAGCTTTTTCAATTCAAAATGTCAGAAATAGCGTTGTAGGTCCACCCTATAAAACCTGGAGCTCAACGCTATTCTGACATCTTGAATTGAAAAAGCTTCCTGGATGGGAAGAGAAACGCCTTCAAACTTTGAAACAAAGTCCAGTGGATCGATTTTTATCTTTTTTGGAAATCATATTTGGAGTTTTCGAGCTGAGCTAGACCTGTGCAGTGCGATCAGCTTCGATCTGTTCACACTGCAAATATGACCCTTAAGTTACGGGACACCTTTATTTACGGCCAGAGAGGAGCTGGCAAAGTTAAAGGTCCTGTCAAACACTCACCCCCATGCTGCTGTGTCTCCTTCAGGTCCATCTACGATGACCAGCCCAATGCCCACAAACGCTTCATGGAGAAGCTGGACGCCAGGATAAGGAACCATGACAGAGAGATTGAAAAGATGTGCAACTTCCACCACCAAGGCTTTGTGGACGCCATCACAGAGCTGCTTAAAGTCCGCGCGGATGCAGAGAAACTGATGGTGAGGAGGGGAAGGTCAGGCTGTCTGTGTTGGTGAGGATTTTACAGGAATATGATCTGTAGGAACAGCTGTTGCTGTGATAGTGGAGAAGCTGATGGAAGGGGGTCAGCGAGGGAAAGACAGAGAAAAACCTGCTCCTAAAATGCCCACATTGATGAAACTACTATGCCTGAATTTAGCGGCTAATCCGATGCTGCAGACCAAGCAGGTAATCCAAGCGAGATTATTAGCATTTCCAAACAGAACAAATGAGGGAGAACTTGGAGAAAGCAAAGATGTTTTAAGGTGCTGGATGATGTGTTTCTGTTTTTATTCCGAAAACACGCCATGAACAGACGGCAGACACAGCAGCCGCCGTGTCCAAGTCTTGTCCTACACCTGACTCCTGAAAGCGCCAGAAGGTCGGGCCCCTCTGTTCAGCAGAGGAACAGAGATGTTAGTATTCATCCATGATTGGATCCTTTATCCCTGGAAAAGCTGACTGGTCAATTAGGTCGTGGCTGAGAGTTCAAAAATCCAGACCCAGAATTGAGAAGTTTGTCACTGAATCTGTGAGAACGAGGCTGTCAGCAGCCATTAAGCCCCTGAAAGGCCCAGCGAGCAGCATGGCTTCAGCTCCTGCTTTGTTCCTACTCCCTCATGGACAATGAGCTGATTACGAGGCTGAGCAGCTGCTGTGAGAGCGCTGCAGAGGGTCTGAAGAAATGAGGAATAGTGCCACCAAATTTACTCTGTGAAGATATTTCGGACCGCTGCTGTCAAACTGATGTCTGTTTGTGTTCAAAGGGTCAAGTGACGGACACCAACAGAAGACTACAGGAAGCAGGGAGGGATGTAAGTCCCTGCGTGTGTGGAGAGCAAACCGTGCCTTTTGTTGTGCTGTCATGACGGATGCATGCTCATTATCTCCGCTCTGGACATGACCGTTCTTTAACCTGCTAGGTGACCTCCTTCCATTGTCCTCCTCTACTGTGCCCCCCCCCCAGGTAAAAGCTCAGAAGGAGGAAGTGATTCGCTGTCGGATCCAGCAGAGGAACATGGCCACCACGGTGGAGAAGCTCCAGCTCTGTTTACCAGGTTAGACCCAAAAATGATATTTAAAAGCTTTATTCGCAGGTGATGAGTCGCCCCATAGCGCTCTGCCTCGGCCGGTTACCTGGGCAACCGTATTATCGGCTGTCGGTTCGTTAAAGAGGGGTTGGGTCTCAGCAGCTTAATCTAGCAGAGTTCAAAAGGTTTCTGTGGCCAGAAAGGAGATTCCAGTATCATCATCTCTTTGTTAGGAAAGTGTAGGTGGAAAAAACAAAAATGGAAAATCTGCATCAGAAATCACGAAATTCAACCTGCTTAGATTTCAGATTCAGTTTCATCGGCAGCTTTCTTTTTAAATCGTTTTTTATTTTTTAGAATACGTTCTCTTCCCTTCCTTCGCTCGTGACCAGACCTGGGCATTAAGGCCTGGAAATCTGATCCCCATGTTTAGCTGGACTATAGTCATAGATTCATCCATAACTGTAGCTGTGATCGGCGCCACAGCAGAAACTCTACGCCTGAACATTTCAAACGGGCCTCCTCAGAACTCATTTATATCACCAAACATCCTCCGTTACCACATTTTATCAGAAGAAAAATATTATAAATACTATTCACAATTCCCCATTTCATCACTAACTCTAATTTGTTTAGACAATAAATCTAAATTGTTTACTTGACCAGAAAATGTATCACAATAACGATAAACGATGTGATAAATCACCGATGCCAGATAACTGTTGCTAACGTCCAGCAGACCAATAGAAATGCGGCTTTGCTCCTCTCTGCAGAGGAAAGCTCCGCCCCCAGAGGAGAAGAAGATAAGATCAGGAAAACCTGATTTAGAAAGTGGGAAATTAATAAAAGTCCATATAAAAAAAACAGATGTTTAGAGAAAATGAACTGAGTAAAAAAAAGGGTTTATTTTTGAAAAAAAAAATAAATAAATATAAAAAAAAAAATGTGATAAAAATAATGGAAAAAAATCCGATAAAACAGCAAGGTTACTCTCAAAACTTTTGAAATGATTAAAATTTTTTTCAAATTTCCATTTCCAAAACAAAAATGGAAAAAGTTCCCCCCATGAAGGAAGAAGGACGTCATCCTGGCAGCAAACAGGCGATGAGAAAAGCTGATGCAGCAGCTAAACCAGAGCAACCCACAGATCAAATGCATCCTTCATCCCTTCCCCCATCCTCTGTCTGATGATCGAGTCGATCTTTGTTTGAATTCCTGAACCACATACTAAGCTAACAAGCTAATTATGTCCGTTATGCTCTTTTCTTTTGTAGTGCTTGAAATGTACAGCAAGCTAAAAGAGCAACTGGATTCCAAAAGGTAAGAACATGAGATCAGTGTCTTCCAACCTGATTTTGATCCCCTTTGAACACAAACATGCATAATCCAGGGAAGAAGAGCAGTGGGGGTGGCTTCTTTTTGCTGCTGCAGGTAGATCTCTGATCTATGGTCGTCCTGCTGAAAATGACCAACATGGTGCCAGTGTGTGTGTGTCCCATCGTCTGCTTCCTCTAATTTCTTTCTGATTCGTTTCTCACATGACGGAAGATCGGAGTTATTCCTCTAAGCTGAAGCATGCTGCGCGTTCACAAACCAGACACAAACACAGAGATCAATATCGATGTTTGAAAGACATTTCTGTTTCCCACAGTTCCTGAACGCAATAGTGGGGAACATTTTAGCTGTCAGTTATCTTTCCACACCAATGTCACCTGCAGTGTTGTGCCTAAACGCGTTCATTAAACGAAAGTTCATGAACTCGTTCATATTTTGGGCGAACGTGAACTGAACGTACTGTATTACAGCCTGATGAACGCTATTGTGAACTCGTTCATTCTGGTGTCTGTGAACGGCACGCTCTCTCAGTTCAACTTCGTTCAATAGGTTTGCAGATTTCTATAGAGCCCCCCAGGCGAAACCCCGGCTAAATCACACCGTAAACAGGCCTTAATATGTACCGGGAAAAACACCCAATCTGGCAACACCAGCTACCAGCGTCGTAGCCTACAGCCGCGTGCATCATCAAAACAAAATGCAGCGTGGAAGCCACAGCAGCATGGAGGCGACCGTGGAGGCGACAAAGCAGCAGTATGATCACTTAAAGGAATAGTACACCCAAAACATGATTAGCCTTCATTTTCTACTCACCCCCATGCTGAACAACACTCTGGAGTACTTTTTTGATATCTCAAATGCATCTGGAGATCTGGGAGGCTTCTTGCTGTCTGCTGACATTCAAATAATGGAGGTCTATTGTGCCCGAGACAGAAAGGTCCATAAAAGTCCACAAAAAACGTGTCAATATTCCTCCATACTGGTCGTCCAATGTATTCCAAGTGTCCTGAGTGGGTAGCATCCAGAATTTACTCGAAACGAAGTCATTTAGAATGTTTTTAGAGCATAAACAGTAGTGTATAGGATTTCCTGAAAGCGCGTTCACGACGCTACGGAAACCGCGGCAGACCAAACCAGATGAAAGTGGTGGGGAAGAAGCTGCTGCAAAACCTGTTGAACCTTCATTGAATGCTGTCAAGCCTCTTCCCAGAGGGCAGTAGGGAGAACAGTCCATGGGGGGGGGGGGTCATTGATGATGTTACGGGCTCGACACGCAGCGCTGGGATGAAATGTCTTTAATGGAGGGAAGAGGAGCCCCCATGATCCTCTCTGCTGTTCTCACCTTCTTCCAGTCTGAGGCGCTGCAGCCTCCACACCACACAGTGAGACAGCTGGTCAGAACGCTCTCTATGGTGCTTCTGGAGAAGGTGGTGAGGATGGGTGGGGGCAGGTGGGCTCTCCTCATCCTCCTCAGGAAGTCCAAGCACTTCTGGGCCCTTTTGACCTGTTAGGTGGTGTTTCCAGTCCAGGTGAGGGTGTCTGTGATGTGCACCCCCAGGAATTTGGTGCTGCTGACCACCTCTACAGCTGAGCTGTGGATGAGCAGTGGAGCGTGGTTAGGACGGTTCTTCCTGAAGTCCACCATGATCTCCTTGGTCTTCTCCACGTTCAGGATCAGGCTGTTATCTCTGCACCACCAGCTGCTCCACCTCCTCTCTGTAGTTCAGGTCGTTGTCGTCTCTGATGAGGTCCACCACCGTGGTGTCGTCTGCAAATTTCACCCTGTGATTGGTGGTGAACCTGGGGACGCAGTCATTTGTCATCAGAGTGAACAGCAGGGGGCTCAGGACGCAGCCCTGAGGGGAGCTTGTGCTTAGACTGATGACATCAGAGGTGTTCTGTCCGACCCGGACTGACTGAGCTCTTCAGGCTGTTTCTTTAAAAACAGCCTGAAGAGCTCCGTCAGTCTTCTAATAATGAAGGAAGATCTGATCATTCTCGTTCCTTTTGATGAAATCTGTGTTTTCCTCTGAATTGGATCTTTAATCATCTAACTGATGTGGATCGGGGCTGATCCACCTCCAGGTCCATCTAGATCACATCGTATGGATACTGTTATTGTTTGGTGTTTTGGGTTTATTAGTGGTGCACGCAGCCGAGGCAGTGTTTTTTTATTTTTACTAAATTGTTTGATAACTAGAGGTGAGTATTGGCATGAGTGTTGCGATTCGATACATGTCGCGCTACTTGGGTCACGATACAATATTATCACAATATTGCAGTATCACTATATATTGCCATATTTTCCCCAGCTATCAAAATCAAATGATGAGATAAAACAGCAAGTGCTGTATATTTTCATCAGAAAATATTGATTAGGTATTATTATCCATGTTGTTTGGGGATTTCTTCCACTGTTACTGCCTCAAATACAGGTTTGGTGCTGCACGCACAGTTAAAGGGCTCCACAGCGTTTTCTGCCAGAGTGGTGGTGCAGAGGTAGCCCATTTACCCATCAATGTTTTATGTAACTATTTTTTTTAATCAATACTAAGAAGTGAAAGATCGATATTATATTGGGCAGCCGAATATCATGATATATTGCCAAAACGATTATTTCCCTCACCCCTATTGATAACTGAGGTTCAAAGTTCTTCTGTTCTTGATTTAGTTTTTTCTTGCGTCGAACAATGCTATCTGGCCCATTATCAGAGGAACATAACGAGCCTTTCTGTCCTGCCAAAGATGAAGCTATTCACGAGGAGAATAATTGACCCCACCCCCCCATGAACCAAAGGCCAAGGTAGTCACACCATATAGCAACTTTTAACACGTCTTCCTGGCGTCCGTATGGATGAATGCGTAATGTAAGCACTGGAGCTTTGGTCAGATTCCCTTCTGGGTCTAATCTATTTTAGCCTTTGTCTCCTTTCTGCATTCTAGCAAATCTTTTCCTCATGAAGTTTATAAGAATGTCTTTCTATTCATTTGTCAACAACACATTTTACACTCAGTGACCAACCAATTAGATCCCTTCACAGGCGGCCCATCAGCCTAATGATGGGAGCTAGCACACTGACCTATCACTGAACTCCTATAATTAATACACAAACCAAACTCTGGCTGATAATAATAGCGGTGATTCAGAAACACTTTATTCATCCCAAAGAGGAATTCAAAGTGTTTGTAACTCTTTTTATTCAGGTTCCTTTTGATAGTGGTGCTGCAGGCAGAAAGGAGATCCTCTAGCTGTTTATAATCAGCATAATAAAGACAAACTAAAGATGGAGTCACCACTTTCCACCATGTTTGGGGATAATGCTCTGAGATCCATCTTTCTGTGGAGCTGCTAGTTTTATTTATTTCATCAGTTCAATTCTATTCAGTTTATTTCTATTGCTCCAATTCACATCATGTCCTCTCAGATCACTTTATAGATCCAGATCAACCTATTAAGGAAAACCAGCTGATTGCATCGACTCATTGACTCTTCAGCAATCCCTCACACTAAGCATGCTTGTAGCGACAGTGGAGAGGAAAAACTCCCTTTTAACAGGAAGAAACCTCCAGCAGAACCAGGCTCAGTGTGAGCGGCCGTCTGCTGAGGCCGACTGGGGTTCAAGGAGACAGAAGCAGACATAGAAAAAGAAGCATAGATACAAAAGGCGACTGTCAACCAGCTCTACAGGCGGCCCCGTCCAGGAAACACACAGCCATGCAGACGAGCTCCGAGCCAGCTCCCATGTCAGAGGATGAAGAGAGCACATCCAGTTAGTCACAGTCAGAGAAACAGGACTACACTGAAAAACAGGCCAATCTCCAACATCTAGAAACAAAGGTGTTGATGGCAGCAGCACAGCTGATATTTCTCTCCAGGATGGAGTCACAGCCAAACAGGAACAGACCAGATGAAGCTACTATGAGAAAAAGCAGAGAGAGCAGAACGTTAGAGATTGAACTAACAGATTCTGCAGAGTGGGAGAATTGAGATAGAATGAAGCAGAATGATGAAATGGGGGTCCCTATGTCCTCCAGCAGTCTAAACCTATAGCAGCATAACTATAGAGATAGTTCAGGATAACCTGAGCCACTCTAACTCTCAGCTTTATCAAAAAGGAAAGTTTTAAGTCTAGCCTTAAAAGTAGACAGGGTGTCTGCCTCACGGACTAAAACTGGTAGTTGGTTCCACAGGAGAGGAGCCTGATAACTAAAAGATCTGCCTCCCATTCTACTTTTAGAAATTCTAGGAACCACTAGTAAACCTGCAGATTGAGAGTGAAGTGCTCTGTTAGGAACATAAGGAACAATCAGATCTCTGATATCAGATGGAGCTTGGCCATTTAGAAGGAGGATTTTAAATTATATTCTGGATTTAACAGGAAGCCAATGAAGAGAAGCCAGGATAGGAGAGATATGATCTCTATTTTTCATTTTCATTAGAACTCTGGCTGCAGCATTTTGGATCAGCTGAAGGCTTTTAACTACAGTTTGTTTATTTCCTGATAGTAAAGAATTACAATAGTCCAGCCTTGAAGTAACAAATGCACGGACTAGTTTCTCAGCATCACCCCTGGACAGGAGATTTTGCAATGTTCCTCAGATGAAAGAAGGAAATTCTAGAAACCTCTTTGATATGGGATTTAAATGACAGGTCCTGATCAAACACTAAGATTTTTACTTTATTATCTGAAATCAGTTTAATCCCATCCAAATGAAGTGACTGGCTAATCAGCTTATTTTTCAGAGACTCTTGTCCAAAGACTATAACTTCTGTTTTGTCTGCATTCAGAAGCAGAAAGTTAAGAGTCATCCAGGTTTTTATGTCTTCAGACATGCCTGTAATCTATGTAATGGGTTAGCTTCATCTGGATTATAGACAGATATAGCTGGGTATCATCAGCATAACAGTGGAAATTAATCCCATGCTGTCTAATAACTCTACCGATTGGAAGCATGTATAAAGTACAGAGAATTGGTCCTAGCACTGATCCCTGTGGTACTCCACAGGTAACCCTGGAGCAGATTAACAGCTGTTTCGCTCTACCTGTCAGTTAACCTGGTTCATAACTGGTTAATGATGCATAGATCAGGTGACTAGGTTTATCTAAACTAACCTATCGCTACATTTTAGCCAACTGGTGAAGGATGGCTGTTTCATTCAACTTCTTATGCCTCCTCCTAAGTTTTACTTGTTGTCCTGTTGCAGTTGCAGAAATGTTTGATATCTTTTAAACCACCAAATTATCTTGGCATAGATATTTGAAAGTGTTGTTTATCCAGCTGTTTTTTGCTGTTAATTGAGGCATCTCTTTGCCCCCACAGGTATTACGCTGCACTGAAAACCATGGAGCAGCTAGAGAAGGTCTATATTCCAAGGTAAGGAAGTCAGTGAAACGAGGTTCCACCAACGATTTGTTCCTGCTGAGAGCCTCATCAGCCTGATATCAGGCAGATGATTGAAAAGCTCTCCCTGCCTGGGAAGTTGGTTGTGAATTAATGGCAGCTATTGGAATAGGAGTCGTTAATTCCCTCCTCCCCCCATCCACCAGGGTCAGCCATTACAGGTTCTGTCAAATCATGGCAGAAAATCTGCCAAGACTGAGGGAGGAAATCAAAGACATCTCCATGTCAGACCTAAAGGACTTCCTAGAAAGCATCCGAAAGCATTCAGACAAGGTTGGAGAGACGGCGATGAGGCAGGTAAGACCGTCCCTTTAAGAGCGCCTCCACAGGGGGACGTGAGGAGCTGCCTGTTCAGTGTGTTTATGCTCCGTCTGCCCAGGCCCAGCAGCACAGAACCTTTAACAGCGCCGTGGCAAAGCAGCTCCACATCGGCCACTACAGCAAGCCTGTTTACTCCCTGAGCCGACACACAAACACGCACCTCTCCAACGGCCTCTGGAGCAACGACGACACTGGAGACGAGGAGGACGCCGATGAAGAAGTGAGGACAAATATGTCCTTGTCTGTTTAGCTTGAAATCATTTCTGTTTTCTGACAACATCAATGTCGGATCAAATGAAAGTTCTCATGGAGTGTTTGAACAGCTGCTGCCTTTATGAACCAGTAAATCAGATAAATAAATTCTCCTGCTTCTCCTCTGTGTCTTCTAGATCCTCACAGCTCAGGACCTGGTGGACTTCTCTCCTGTCTACAGGTGTCTCCACATCTACTCTGTGCTGGTAGGTGTTCCTGCTGCTAATGCAGCCACTGAATGTAGAGGTGGGTTTCCCAGTCATGGTTAAAGGGGCTGAAAAGGAAAACAAACTTCTGTGGCTGCAGGTCAGTTGTTAGAGATACTGGGACAAGTCATGTTTAACCTCTTATAGTTCTGAAGCCTCCAATCCAGGGGTGTCAAACTGGTTCCAGAAAGGGCCGTGTGGCTGCAGGTTTTTCTTTCCAACCAAGCAATAGCACACCAGACTCCAGTCATCTCATCAAGTGAGTCCAATCTGAACATGATGACTTGATGAGATGAATGGAGTCTGGTGTGCTACTGCTTGGTTGGAAAGAATACCTGCAGCCACACGGCCCTTTCTGGAACCAGTTGACACCCCTGCTCTAATCCATCGTGGAGGAAGGTTTCCAGTCACTGATTAGTAGCAGATTGAATCGAGTTATTGATTGGTAGCGGACTAAATCGAGTCATTGATTGGTAGCGGACTGAATCGAGTCATTGATTGGTAGCAGATTGAATCGTGTCATTGGTGTGGTTGAACTGTAAAGTGCCTTGCAATGACTTGTATTGTGAATTGGCGCTATATAAATAAACTGAATTGAATTGAATTGATTGGTAGCGGACTGAATCAAGTCATTAATTGGTAGTGGACTGAATCGAGTCATTGATTGGTAGCGGACTGAGAGACCTTCTGCCCCTTTGTAACAGGGTTCCTGGTAGGAATCCACCAGTTTAATCCCCGACTGACCGTTTCTTTCTATAAACAGCTCCACTCCTCCTCAGGTCAGCGGTCTGAGGAGACTGAAAGCTCTCTGTCCTTCTCCTCCATCATCACTAACTTTACCCGTTCTGCCTATTTTCTTTGACTAAACATCCATCTTCTTCTTACATTTTCTTTCAACATTCTCGCTCCTGTTCTGGTCTGCAGCCTCGTCGCCTTCTGCATCCATTACTGCAGCTCCCTCAGAAATCTCTCCATTAGCTCCAGTTGGTCCAGAACTCAGTGGCTCACTTCATCACCAAACCCCTCATTTAATCCCCTTTGTCCTTCAGGAGCTTCGCTGGCCCCCTGTAGCTTCAGAGTCCAGTTCAAATTTCTCCTCTTTACATTCAAGGTCCTCCATGATCCTGCTCCTCCAGTCATCTCAGCTCTCCTTTAGGTTGTTGCCACACCTCAGACCTCTGATTTTTCCATTTGTATTTTGAAAGATGAGCAGCAGAATGAATCAGTTCAGACTAAATAAGGGACTTAGTTTCCAGTGGTCTTCATAAAAATCATACCTTTATTAGAAGCTGTTATCTGTGGGGATCTTGGTAAAGAGTTATTGTTGTATTATTAAAACGCTGCGTTCTAACATCCACCCCTTTAGTCTGTTCCTAAAGATATTCTGTTTGCAGGGCGACAGAGAAACATTTGAGAACTACTACAGGAAGCAAAGGAAGAAACAGGCCCGCCTGGTTCTGCAGCCACAGGCTAACATGGTGAGGACCCTACATGTTTCTACCTTCTTGTCCTGGAATAACAGTAGTACTGCAGAGATGGGCAGCAACTGAAATGTTTTTTGTTTACTCTGTGTTTAGCATGAAACGGTGGAAGGCTACAGAAGATACTTCAACCAAATCGTGGGGTAAGACCTGCCTTTCTGTTGGCTTTGCTTCTGGGTGGGCTGGTGAGTTCTGGAAAGTGCAGACCTATGTTTGTCTCCAGGTTCTTTGTGGTAGAAGATCACATCCTCCATGCCACAAGGGGGCTGGTGACCCGAGCTTTCACTGATGAACTGTGGAACATGGCCCTGTCCAAGATCATCGCCGTGCTCCGCACACACTCTGTAGGTCTCACACTCTTTAGGTCTCTCACTGTCTGTAGGTCTCACACTCTGTAGATCTCACACTCTGTAGGTCTCACACTCTGTAGGTCTCACACTCTTTAGGTCTCTCCCTCTCTGTAGGTCTCACACTCTTTAGGTCTCTCACTCTCTGTAGGTCTCTCACTCTCTGTAGGTCTCTCACTCTCTGTAGGTCTCACGCTCTCTGTAGGTCTCACAGTCTGTAGGTCTCTCACTCTGTAGGTCTCTCACACTCTGTAGGTCTCTCACTCTGTAGGTCTCACACTCTGTAGGTCTCACACTCTTTAGGTCTCTCACTCTCTGTAGGTCTCACACTCTTTAGGTCTCTCACTCTCTATAGGTCTCACACTCTGTAGGTCTGTCACACTCTGTAGGGCTCACAGTCTGTAGGTCTCTCACTCTGTAGGTCTCTCACACTCTGTAGGTCTCTCACTCTGTAGGTCTCACACTCTGTAGGTCTCACACTCTGTAGGTCTCACACTCTGTAGGTGTCTCACTCTGTAGGTCTCACACTCTGTAGGTCTCACACTCTTTAGGTCTCTCACTCTCTATAGGTCTCACACTCTGTAGGTCTGTCACACTCTGTAGGGCTCACAGTCTGTAGGTCTCACAGTCTGTAGGTCTCTCACTCTGTAGGTCTCTCAAACTCTGTAGGTCTCTCACTCTGTAGGTCTCACACTCTGTAGGTCTCACACTCTTTAGGTCTCTCACTCTCTGTAGGTCTCACACTCTTTAGGTCTCTCACTCTATAGTCTCACACTCTGTAGGTCTGTCACAATCTGTAGGTCTGACACTCTGTAGGTCTCACACACTGTAGGTCTCACACTCTGTAGGTCTCACACTCTGTAGGTCTCACACTCTCTGTAGGTCTCTCACTCTTTGTAAGTCTCACTCTCTGTAGGTCTCTCACTCTGTAGGTCTCACAGTCTGTAGGTCTCTCACTCTCTGTAGGTCTCTCACTCTCTGTAGGTATCTCACTCTCTGTAGGTCTCTCACACTCTAGGTCTTTCACACTCTAGGTCTCAGACTCTGTAGGTCTCTCACACACTGCAGGTCTCACTCTCTGTAGGTCTCACACTCTCCGTAGGTCTCACACCCTGTAGGTCTCTCACTCTCTGTAGGTCTCTCACACTCTGTAGGTCTCTCACACTCTGTAGGTCTCTCACACACTGCAGGTCTCACTCTCTGTAGGTCTCACTCTCTGTAGGTCTCACAACCTGTAGGTCTCTCACTCTCTGTAGGTCTCTCACTCTCTGTAGGTGTCTCACACTCTGTAGGTCTCTCACACACTGCAGGTCTCACTCTCTGTAGGTCTCACTCTCTGTAGGTCTCACTCTCTGTAGGTCTCACACTCTGTAGGTATCTCGCTCTGTAGGTCTCACTCTCTGTAGGTCTGACTCTCTGTAGGTCTCACACTCTCTGTAGGTCTCACTCTCTGTAGGTCTCACACTCTCTGTAGGTCTCTCACTCTCTGTAGGTCTCACTCTCTTTAGGTCTCTCACTCTCTATAGGTCTCACACTCTGTAGGTCTGTCACACTCTGTAGGGCTCACAGTCTGTAGGTCTCACAGTCTGTAGGTCTCTCACTCTGTAGGTCTCTCACACTCTGTAGGTCTCTCACTCTGTAGGTCTCACACTCTGTAGGTCTCACACTCTGTAGGTCTCTCACTCTGTAGGTCTCACACTCTGTAGGTCTCACACTCTTTAGGTCTCTCACTCTCTATAGGTCTCACACTCTGTAGGTCTGTCACACTCTGTAGGGCTCACAGTCTGTAGGTCTCACAGTCTGTAGGTCTCTCACTCTGTAGGTCTCTCACACTCTGTAGGTCTCTCACTCTGTAGGTCTCACACTCTGTAGGTCTCACACTCTTTAGGTCTCTCACTCTCTGTAGGTCTCACACTCTTTAGGTCTCTCACTCTATAGTCTCACACTCTGTAGGTCTGTCACAATCTGTAGGTCTCACACTCTGTAGGTCTCTCATACTCTGTAGGTCTCTCACACACTGTAGGTCTCACACTCTGTAGGTCTCACACTCTGTAGGTCTCACACTCTGTAGGTCTCACACTCTCTGTAGGTCTCTCACTCTTTGTAGGTCTCACTCTCTGTAGGTCTCTCACTCTGTAGGTCTCACAGTCTGTAGGTCTCTCACTCTCTGTAGGTCTCTCACTCTCTGTAGGTATCTCACTCTCTGTAGGTCTCTCACACTCTAGGTCTTTCACACTCTAGGTCTCAGACTCTGTAGGTCTCTCACACACTGCAGGTCTCACTCTCTGTAGGTCTCACACTCTCCGTAGGTCTCACACCCTGTAGGTCTCTCACTCTCTGTAGGTCTCTCACACTCTGTAGGTCTCTCACACTCTGTAGGTCTCTCACACACTGCAGGTCTCACTCTCTGTAGGTCTCACTCTCTGTAGGTCTCACAACCTGTAGGTCTCTCACTCTCTGTAGGTCTCTCACTCTCTGTAGGTGTCTCACACTCTGTAGGTCTCTCACACACTGCAGGTCTCACTCTCTGTAGGTCTCACTCTCTGTAGGTCTCACACTCTGTAGGTCTCTCACTCTGTAGGTCTCACTCTCTGTAGGTCTGACTCTCTGTAGGTCTCACACTCTCTGTAGGTCTCACACTCTAGGTCTCTCACTCTGTAGGTCTCACTCTCTGTAGGTCTCTCACTCTCTGTAGGTCTCTCACTCTCTGTAGGTCTCACTCTCTGTAGGTCTCACTCTCTGTAGGTCTCACACTCTCTCTAGGTCTCTCACTCTCTGTAGGTCTCTCACTCTCTGTAGGTCTCACTCTCTGTAGGTCTCTCACTCTGTAGGTCTCACACCCTGTAGGTCTCTCACTCTCTGTAGGTTTCTCACACTCTGTAGGTCTCTCACACTCTGTAGGTCTCACACTCTGTAGGTCTCACACTCTCTGTAGGTCTCACACCCTGTAGGTCTCTCACTCTCTGTAGGTCTCTCACTCTCTGTAGGTCTCTCACTCTCTGTAGGTCTCTCACACTCTGTAGGTATCTCACACACTGCAGGTCTCACTCTCTGTAGGTCTCACTCTCTGTAGGTCTCACTCTCTGTAGGTCTCACACTCTGTAGGTCTCTCACTCTGTAGGTCTCACTCTCTGTAGGTCTCACACTATCTGTAGGTCTCACACTCTCTGTAGGTCTCACACTCTGTAGGTCTCTCACTCTGTAGGTCTCACTCTCTGTAGGTCTCACACTCTCTGTAGGTCTTTCACACACTATAGGTCTCACACTCTGTAGGTCTCACTCTCTGTAGGTCTCACACTCTGTAGGTCTCACACTCTGTAGGTCTCTCACTCTCTGTAGGTATTTCACACACTATAGGTCTCACTCTCTGTAGGTCTCACTCTCTGTAGGTCTCACACTCTGTAGGTCTCACACTCTCTGTAGGTCTTTCACACACTATAGGTCTCACTCTCTGTAGGTCTCACACTCTGTAGGTCTCACACTCTGTAGGTCTCTCACTCTCTGTAGGTCTCTCACACTCTAGGTCTTTCACACTCTAGGTCTCAGACTCTGTAGGTCTCTCACACACTGCAGGTCTCACTCTCTGTAGGTCTCACACTCTCCGTAGGTCTCACACTCTGTAGGTCTCACACCCTGTAGGTCTCTCACTCTCTGTGGGTCTCTCACTCTCTGTAGGTCTCTCACACTCTGTAGGTCTTTCACACTCTGTAGGTCTCACACTCTGTAGGTCTCACACTCTCTGTAGGTCTCACACCCTGTAGGTCTCTCACTCTCTGTAGGTCTCTCACTCTCTGTAGGTCTCTCACTCTCTGTAGGTCTCTCACACTCTGTAGGTATCTCACACACTGCAGGTCTCACTCTCTGTAGGTCTCACTCTCTGTAGGTCTCACTCTCTGTAGGTCTCACACTCTGTAGGTCTCTCACTCTGTAGGTCTCACTCTCTGTAGGTCTCACACTATCTGTAGGTCTCACACTCTCTGTAGGTCTCACACTCTGTAGGTCTCTCACTCTGTAGGTCTCACTCTCTGTAGGTCTCACACTCTCTGTAGGTCTTTCACACACTATAGGTCTCACACTCTGTAGGTCTCACTCTCTGTAGGTCTCACACTCTGTAGGTCTCACACTCTGTAGGTCTCTCACTCTCTGTAGGTCTTTCACACACTATAGGTCTCAGTCTCTGTAGGTCTCACTCTCTGTAGGTCTCACACTCTGTAGGTCTCACACTCTCTGTAGGTCTTTCACACACTATAGGTCTCACTCTCTGTAGGTCTCACACTCTGTAGGTCTCACACTCTGTAGGTCTCTCACTCTCTGTAGGTCTCTCACTCTCTGTAGGTCTCTCACTCTCTGTAGGTCTCACGCTCTCTGTAGGTCTCACTCTTTGTGTCTCTCACACACTGACATGTAGAGACAATGACGTCAATGATGTCACCATCCGGACCCACAGAAAGGGTCCCTGTGGTTCAATTGGAGACAGATTAGAGCAGATTAGGAGGCCATCTTCCTGCTAGATCCCACTCAGGTGGAAATGACTGACAGGATTATGCTAACGATGCAGCACGCTGACAAATCCTTACCGACCCACTGTGGTCTGCTGCTACTTCTAGGGCTGTTGTTTCCAGCAAGGGCCACTATGATCATTTTGGACTGTGGAGTTAGGAAACCACAGCCCGTATATCTTGGGTGAGATGTGTACAGGCTTCTAGTTAAACTTTATGAGGAACAGTTCCCTGAATGTAAAATAAATGTTTTTGCTCTGATGAGGATCTAAAAAAATTATATTGACCTGCTCTGTGTCTCAGTGGGTAGCACTGCTGTTTTGCAGCAAGAAGGTTCCGGGTTCACTTCCTGGCCCGGGGTCTTTCTGGATAGAGTCTGCATGTTCTCCCTGTGTGTGTGTGGATTCTCTCACAGTCCAAAAACATGACTGTTAGGTTAATTGGCTTCTCTAAATCCTCCTTAGGTGTGAGTGTGTGCTTGAATGATTGTTGGTCCTGTTTGTCTCTGTGTTGTCCCGCGATGAACTGGCGACCTGTCCATGGTGTACCCAGCCTCTTGCCCGTAAACAGCTGGAGATAGGCACCAGCACCCCTCGCACCAGCACCCCTCACTTGGGATTAAGCTTGTTGGAAAATGGATGGATGAATGGATCTAACTAGAAACATTAGATCTATATGCTGATAATCTGTCATGGTGATAAAATGCAATCCTTCGATAATCTGTGTAACAATCAGGACCGTTGTTCTTCTCTGCATCCTCTGTCGATTTCCTTTCCCCCGCAGTCCTACTGTGAAGACCCAGACCTGGTTCTGGAGCTGAAGAACCTGATCGTTATCTGCGCTGACACACTGCAGGTCTGCTCCGCTCTGCTGCATCTCATCGGCGGGTGTCAAAGTTTGGATTGAGACGTGTGGCTCTCTGTGCAGGGTTACGGTTTCCCAGTCAGCCGACTCTTTGACCTGTTGTTCGAGGTGCGGGACCAGTACAATGAGACGCTGCTGAAGAAATGGGCTGCGGTCTTCAGGTGGGGCCCACTCATCAGTGACTGATGCTGATCTGTGGGGAGAAACAGGAGCTGTTCTGCAGGTGGTTCAGATCCAGTCATGCTGCCCCGATCCTTTTAGGGCAGCAGTTCAAACCCATGACTCCAGTAGTGAGTCCCTGAGGGTCAGAACCCTTGGTTGGCCTTTTCTTAAATTACAGTGAACTCGTGCTGAGGGTTGGGTTCCATATGAATAATGTTTCTCACTGTAAAATGATAGAGATTAAATGGTTGGGGAGTTGTCATATTTCTGGTCACATCAATCTTCTATAATCTTTGCTGCTGTCGCTGCTGTCAACTCTGTGCTGAATCTGCTTTGTGTGCAGAGAGATCTTTGAATCGGACAACTACAGCCCCATCCCAGTTGAAACAGTGGAGGAGTATAAACTGGTGATCAGTCGCTTTCCCTTCCATGATCCTGAGATCGAAAAGGTTCCTCCATGCAGCCATTTGCACATCTTCCTCAGCTCTCATTCCTCTCAGTCACGTTCAGCTGTGCTTTGTTTGTGTGAGCAGCAGGACTTTCCTAAGAAGCTGCCGATGTCACAGTCTGTCCCTCAGATCTACGCACAGGTCAAAGAGTTCATCTACGCAAGCCTGAAGTTCTCCGAGTCGCTGCACCGCAGGTACTCTTCTGGTTCTTTTCTTAAAGCAGATTCATCTGCTGATCCTGCTGGAGGTTTCTCCAGGTCTGGATTCTGTCCTGAATCTAAGTGTTTGTGTTCTCTCAGTTCCACAGAGATCGACGACATGCTGAGGAAATCCACCAATCTGCTGCTGACCAGGACACTGAGCAGCTGTCTGCAGAACCTGACTAAGAAACCGCACATAGGGCTGACTGAGGTGGGCCCAGCTCCAGGTCTCATCCATTCCCCGTGACCTTCAGTCATCTGTTGTGAAAACTGTCAACTTTCCCTCTGCAGCTGGTGCAGATCATTATCAACACCACTCACCTGGAGCAGGCCTGTAAATATCTGGAGGAGTTCATCACCAACATCACCAACATTTCCCCTGAAACCGTTCACACCACCAGGCTCTATGGCCTGTCCACCTTTAAGGTAACCTGCTGCCCTCACCTGGCTGATAGAGCTGAAAGACTTTAGTTTGATGTAGTGGAGCCGTTCTAAGGCAGAATTACTTAGCAGTGAAGAGCAAAGGGGGGGTCTTGGTATGGCCACTCGTCCAGGTAAAGTCAGGCTTACTCTGTATAATTTTTTTTTTTTGCCCTTTTCGGGCTGACTTCCAGCCTGATGGTGCGTGGTGTAGTGAACAGGGGGTAACGAGGGGCGATTAGCCGCTAACGACCACCTCCCCATCTGGAATCTTAAGGTCGGGAGAAAATCAAACATGTTTGAAATTCAGTCGGCCGTCGTAAAATGGTTGTGGGTAAATCGCTCAGTGGGCATACAAGGATTCTTCTTCTTCTTCTTCCTCTCAGAGGAAACCCCAGAAGCATTACGGGGGTGCAATGAGTGAAATGGAGTTCTTTCTATATTGCACAAATAGCCAAGGCAGCGCGTTTCACTCTAGTGCGCTTCATATTCCTCTTCTACTGGTTTTCTTCTGGAAAGAAGAGTCCGAGTAGCGCCATCTCACTGCGGAGCTGAGTCCCACCTGGTTTTTAGACGTACAGTGTGAGCAGGTAGATCGCATCAGAGCGTCGGGTCGCACAGTGTGAGAACAAACATGGTGAGCTGGGAACTTTTAAATCCTGCAGCTTCATCGTACAGTTTGAGCTTTAGCTGTGTGCAACGATTGAAAATATTGTACAGTGTATACCCGGCTTTATGGGACCTCTCCATGTACCGAATCCCATCATCCCACCCTGACATCACACATTAGGAGACATCACCAACTCGCTGTTCTTAGATCAAGGCCAACCAGAATGCACAGTGACAAACTGTTAGGAATGATCGTCTGACGCTAACTGATGATAATTGATGATAACCTACGATAACTGATGAGAACTGATCGTTTGTGATAATTTAGGATAACAGATGACAACTGCTGATAACCAGTGATAGTTGATGCTAACTGTTTATCCTGACAGAGGAAAACTCCCAATGAGATAAACTGCTTGGAAAAAATGATACCAGGCAGATAATATCAGGGTTTATGAAGCACAGAGATGAATCATCACAATGATCTTAATAACCTCCATGTTTGTAAATCGATCCAGTTCAGGTAGCCAGCTCCTCCGCAGCCCTGTGCTCAGCTGCTCCTCATGGCGAGCCGGTCTGTAAACACTGAGACTCTTTTCTAGGATGCTCGGCACGCTGCCGAGGGAGAGATCTACACCAAGCTGAACCAGAAGATCGACGAGTTCATCCAGCTGGCGGACTATGAGTGGAGCATGGCCGAGTCCGACGGCCGCGCTTCAGGGTACCTCATGGACCTCATCAACTTCCTCCGCTCTACTTTTCAGGTTTTCACTCATCTTCCGGTGAGTTTGATAAGTTCTTGTTTTTACTTGAACTTTTGACATTGTTTCAGCTCCGGCCCGGTCCAGTCCGGTGTTTTCTTTTTTTACCTGAATGCTCCCCACCCCCTCCCTCTCCCAAGACATGCTAGTTCTGCTGATTTGATCTGTGTTCAGAGTCTTAGAGCCTCCAGGATAACTGCTTTGATTTGCTCCCTCCTTTCCATTTATTGTTGCTGCATCTTTTTCCCGTCCTTTCCCTCCTCCCCCCTTTCTTCTGTTTTTGGTTGGTTTGGGGTTTTCTGATCAGAATAACAACAATGACCATGCGTCGATGTCGGTGAGTAAAGTCTGCCTGGATTTCATGACACGTTGCTGCCATTTTGCAGCCGCTGGGGAACATGGACTGCATGCTCTGCTCTTGGCCTGTGGTTTCACTCCTGTGTTCTTAAATAATGACATTTATGGGAAGCGGGAAAATCTGTAGACTCTGCAAGAGGACGTCTGATCGTGGCGATACTGAGAGGAGGACCGGAGGAAGATGCAGCCAAGTTTTAAGGCCCTGAAGGCCTTTAATGCTGTGAGCTAGCAGCAGCCATCAGGGTGGACTGGCTGCACACTGCCTAACAGCTGCTTACCAATCAGCAGGTACCTTAATCAAGCTTCACTGCTTAGCGTAGGCTCCCTCCTTCAGTCTGAAAGCTGCAGCCCCCAGTGGGCGGAGCTTCAATCTGCATCGACGCACAGAAGAAGCTAGTTCTATTTCATCCCTACTGACCGCCAGAGGGCGGTGCTGAAAGCACCGAATGTTCCCTTCGGGCATGCGCAGTTCGAGTAATTATACCAACAGAGTCACACCTGTGACACCGGATGACCACTCAGAAGCTATATAGCCTGGTGTCATCCTTTGCTCTGCTACTTTTTTCTTCTCGCAAGCGGTTCGCTAACTTCCCCATTGTCTGAAGCCCCTGTCTCTTGACCAGAGTTGCGGTTATTCTCCGCCCTCCCAGGGCTGCAACGGGTCGATTCTGAGGATTACGGAAGGTAAGTGAGTTGTTTGCTGGTGATGGTAGCGTCCGCGCCCCCTCTCCCGGCTCACGACTTTAGCTTTTTACCTACAGCTTCGTGCTGTTTTGTTTCGAACTGGTTACGGCAGCGTTTTCGCCCCTACTCCCAGTGTGAATAACTTCACTGCCGAAGTTATATACGGCTAACGTAGTTAGCTTCTTTAGTTTGTTGGTGTTATACCTGGTGACGGCAGCGGTTTTCGCCCCCTCTCCCAGTATATTCCCTACTTTTGCATCCTTTTTTTCACCGGTCTGCGCTGCTATAATTACTGACGGCCGCGGTTTTCGCCCCCTCTCCCAACCAAGTGTGGTCTACTTCGTTTGCCGAAGTTGGAGACGGCTAACGTTGTTAGCCTTTTTTGGTTTGTTTGCAGCCTTCTTCATCGGTCTGCTTAGTTATGAATGGTGACGGCAGCCTTTTCGCCCCCTCTCCCAAAATCAACCTTTTTTGCAGCCTTTTCGTTGGTCTGCTCTCTTAATTGGTGACGGCAGCGTTGTTCGCTCCTACTCCCAACTTAAGTTTCCATACAGCTAACGTTGTTAGCTTTTTTGGTTTATTGGTTTTATACCTGGTGACGGTAGCGGTTCTCGCCCCCTCTCCCAGTATCGGCTGCCTTGTGCTCGCAGCCTCTTTCGTTTCTCTGCTGTAATTGGTGACGGCTGCGTTTGCGCCCCCTCTCCCGATTTTCGATAACTTTCTGTTCTTTAAGCCTTGTCGGCCTTCGACATGGATGGCTCTCACAGCTGCATGGATTGTGGGGCTGCCCTGCAGGCAGAGGATGGCCACGACCTGTGCCCTACCTGCCTTGGACATGAGCACCTTTTGGAGGCGCTGTCTGAGAACCCCTGTATGAACTGCAGCTTTATGCCCCATGCAGTGAGGGTGGCCCGGTTGGCCCAGTTGTGCCCCCAGGAGGGCTCGGACCTTCCGCCCTCTGGGCAGGTGGTTCCCCCCAAGCGTTCTAAGCGCCGTGGTGGGACCACAGCATCTGTGCCCCTCCCCCGGAGGAAGCGGGCCAAACCTGACCAGGGCCTGTCCACAAGGGTGGAGCAGTTGTCAGCAGAGCTGGCAGAGATGAAGTCCTTGTTGCAGACACGGCAATCTGATCCCTCGCTCCCAGTGGTTGGGCTCTCTTCCCCACCAATGCCCGAGCTGGTTGTAGAGGATGACGTTATCTCTCTGGCTGCTTCCGCTTCTCATTTTAGAGATGAGGAGGAGGCAGGGTCCTCTCAAGCCTCTGAGGCTGGTTCATTTTCATCTCAGAGTGCGGTTGGAGAGGCCAGTGACGGTTCCATGCGGGAGGTCATGTCTATGGCCCTGAAGCAGCTGCAGCTGGAACTCCCACAAGGAGAGGCATCCACCTCCGGCAGTGCCTTTTTCAGACGTGGAAGGGCTCCTACTCCTTTTTCTGTACCTCCATCAGAGGAGTACTTGAAGGAGTTACACGCCTGTTGGCGGGAACCGAGAGCGCTATCGCGTCTCTCATCGGATGGTCGTGTATTAGCTGCCATGCATGAGTCGGTGAAGGCCGGCCTGGACCGTATGCCAGCAATTGAACCAGCTGTTGCTTCACTGATTGTGTCACCAGATGAAGCCCTGCGTCCTGATGTCCGGTGCCCGCGGACTCAATGTCGGGTTACAGATGACCTCCTCTGTAAGGCGTACAATGCAGGAGCGCGTGCTGGCCGCCTTGGCAATTCCCTGGCGCACCTCATGTTTGCCCTGTCTGCATCTGTTCAGGACACTGGTGGTGCAAGTGCGGCGGTTGGTTATAGTGACGCAGCGCTGCAGGCCTTCACGCTGATGACAGGAGAGCTTGGACGGGTCATGTCTTTCCTTGTCCAAGCTCGTAGACAGGTCTGGTTGGCACAATCTCCTCTGACTGAAGCATGCCGTAGGACCCTCAGGGGTGTCCCGGTTGTACCAGGGGAGCTGTTTGGATCAGCTGCCTTGGAGGCGCTGGAACGGACTGCTCAGGCACGTCAGACTAGCCAGCAGCTTTCCGGCCTTCGCAGGAGCATACCTGCCTTTCCCCAGCGTTCGGGCCGCCCTGCCACTACCCCCAGCGTTCAGCCACGACCTCAGACTGGTGGCAGACCTGTTGGTTCCTATCCCCATGATGTGCGGCAGAGACCGAGGAGGGACTTTTGTGAGCCAGTCTGCCGCCCTGTTAGACAGACCCGGGCCTCAAATCCTGGACGCCCTCCCCCCAGAGCCCCCAGGGGCCGTGGGGATAGAAGATGATGCCACCGGGCCAGCCGTCGGACATTTTTCCCATCAGCAGCTGAATTTCTGGGCTGCTCATGCCGTAGATCCATGGGTGGTTGCCACCTTAACCAATGGCTACAGGCTCCAGTTCCGACGGCGGCCCCCCCTCTCACACCGGGTCAAGATGACTGTCATCACAGACCCGGTGAAATCTCAGGCACTAGACCAGGAGCTTTCCGCCCTCCTGGGCAAGGGGGCAATCGAGTCTGTAGATCCTCTGCGGCAACCCAGAGGCTACTACTCCACATACTTCCTTGTGGCCAAGAAGACCGGCGGTTTTCGCCCCATTTTAGATCTAAGGGGACTGAATCGGTACCTGAAGGTCCTTCCCTTCCACATGCTCACCATAACAGAGGTCCTTCAGACCATTGTGGCGGGAGATTGGTTTACATCAGTAGATCTGACAGACGCCTACTTTCACGTGCCTATTGCGGCAGAACATCGCCGTTTTCTCAGGTTTGCCTATCGGGGGCGCCATTGGCAATTCCGGGTGCTCCCATTCGGGCTCTCCCTTTCCCCGAGGGTGTTTACTCGATGCGTGAAAGCAGCCCTCTCTCCTCTACAGGCCTCCGGAGTCAGGATTCTGCCATACCTGGACGATTGGCTTCTTTGTGCTCCCTCTCAGGTAGCTGCCTCTCGGGATACGTCCCAGCTTCTACTTCATGTGTCACTGTTAGGCCTCAAAGTCAACTTGGCAAAGAGTTGTCTTGTTCCATCTCAGACAACCACCTTTCTTGGGATGCATCTGGACTCTGCTACCATGATGGCCCGTCCATCTGTTCACAGGGTGGACGACATACTCCAGCTTGTCCGTCGATTCAGACTGGGCAGGGAGTTTCCCTACATCATCCTCCTGCGAATGCTGGGCAAACTGACATCAGTCACTCGTGTCGTGCCCTTAGGGCTGCTCCTTCTGCGTCCTTTGCAGCGATGGCTCAACAGCTTTCGCCTAGACGCCAGGCTGCACAGGCATCGCAGGCTAATGGTGACCAGGAGCTGCCTCCATGCCCTAGCTCCTTGGCGAGACGGGACCCTTTTGTCCAGTGGTGTTCCAATGGGGCTAGTAGTGTGTCGAAGGGAGGTGGTCACCACGGATGCCAGCCTCATGGGCTGGGGTGCCGTGTGGCAACACAGAGCTGTTCGGGGTCTCTGGGACCCAAGGGAGCGCACCGAACACATAAATGTGCTGGAGCTGCGGGCTGTGCACATGGCCCTCAGGTGCCTTCTGCCCCACCTAGAGGGAAGGCACGTGCTGATTCGGACAGACAACACCTCTGTTGTTTATCATATAAACCACCAAGGTGGCACCAGGTCAGCACGTCTCTTGAAGGTGTCGAGGGATCTCCTGGAATGGGCGTTTCCCCGTCTGTGTACCCTGCGCGCAGCGTATCTGCCAGGACGGCAGAACCAGGTTGCGGACTCTCTATCCCGCCAGGCACCTGCTCCGGGAGAGTGGTCTCTTCACCGTGACGTAGTGCGCATAATCTGGAACCTCTTTGGGCAGGCAGAGGTAGATCTGTTCGCCACAGAGGAGTCGACCCATTGCCCCCTATGGTATTCCCTAACCGGGATGGCGGGCACACTGGGCCAGGATGCACTGGCTCATCCATGGCCGCAGGTTCTCCTGTATGCCTTTCCACCCCTCTCACTGATTTGGCCGACTCTACGGAGGGTTCTCGAGCAGGGCCACAGAGTGTTGCTGGTAGCTCCGTTCTGGCCAGCGCGGCCGTGGTTCCCGCTGCTTTGGAGTCTGTGTCACGGTACTCCATGGCGTCGTCCAGCAAGGAGGGATCTGCTGTCTCAGTTGGGGGGACAGATATGGCACCCCAACCCTCAACGTCTCCAGCTGTGGGCATGGCCCCTGGGAGGCTGACTGGGTGTTCAGACACCGTGAGACACACCGTATTGAGTGCTAGGGCTTCCTCCACTCGGCTGCAGTATGCTAACAGATGGCGCCTCTTTTCTCAGTGGTGCTCTGCCCACAATGAGAACCCAGTTTCCTGCTCGGTGCCCACTATTTTGGAGTTCCTCCAGTCTCTCCTTGATAAGGGCCGCTCTCCTTCGACCCTTAAAGTGTATGTTGCAGCAATTTCATGTCTTCACCGAACTGTTGACAACCGTACAGTGGGGTGCCATGAACTGGTTTCACTTTTTCTGCGTGGTGCTCGTAGGTTGTGCCAGCAGCCAGCCCCACGAGCCCCAGATTGGGATCTGCCGTTGGTTCTCACGGCTCTGTGCCACCCTCCATTCGAGCCTTTGGCACAAGCAGAACTCAAGTGGCTTTCCTGCAAGACTGCTTTCCTGATGGCTATCGTCTCAGCTAAGAGGGTCAGCGAGCTAGATGCTCTTTCTGTCAGCCCTAGGTGTATCAGGTGGAATCCAGATGGCTCTGGTGTTAACCTGTGGCCTAATACTGCGTTTGTGCCTAAGGTGTTGTCTCCTTTTCACCGTAACCAGCCATTGCGGCTGGCTCGGTTTCAGCCTCAATCTGGTACAACTGAGAATGAGTCATAGTTGTTGTGCCCAGTAAGAGCGTTGGAGGCATACATTGCAGCCACCGCCAATCTGAGACGCTCGGACCAGCTTTTCCTATGCTATGGGGGTCCAAGTTTAGGCTGTCCTCTTTCTAAACCGCGTCTGTCCCATTGGATTGTGAGTGTCATCTGCCACGCCTACGCTGCAGGTCACTGCTCCCTGCCAGTCGGTGTGAGAGCACATTCCACCAGGAGCGTCACCGCTTCCTGGGCTGCTTTGAGAGGGGTTCCGCTGGAAGCTATATGTGCTGCTGCTTCATGGGCTTCCCCAACCACCTTCACCAGGTTCTACAGTGTCAATGTGGCTGCCCCTCATCCCCTGGGTCAGGTCCTTTTACAAGGTTCTGCTGGGCCTCCTCTGTGAGGTATGTGCTCAGGATTCCTTGTGACATCGTTGGCATTAGTCATTCAGTGTTTTCAGCACCGCCCTCTGGCGGTCAGTAGGGATGAAATAGAACGAAAGTTACGTATGTAACTACGGTTCTATGAATCCCGGATGACCGCCAGAGCTTCTCTGTCACTCAGAATCCTTGCTTTTGCGAGAAGATTCTGTAGGAGCAGAGCAAAGGATGACACCAGGCTATATAGCTTCTGAGTGGTCATCCGGTGTCACAGGTGTGACTCTGTTGGTAAAATTACTCGAACTGCGCATGCCCGAAGGGAACATTGTGCTTTCAGCACCGCCCTCTGGCGGTCATCCGGGATTCATAGAACCGTAGTTACATACGTAACTTTCGTTTTACAGAGAGCCTTGGATCGTCAGCTGTTAGCACTCAGCTTCTGGAAGCATCATTGAAATGATTTCTTTTTTTGATAAACACGATTAAACTAGAAATTAATAAATGCAGATGTAACCGCAATAAGAAACAAGCCTTCCTATTGGCTGATGGGTAGATGAGGTCACTCTTCTACCCTGTGTGAGCCTCACTCTAAACATTGGATCAGATAAAGAGTTTAGGTTTTTATTGTCCTCCAGCCTCACAGTCCGATGCAGATTTAAAACCAGGCTTCCCTCCAGTCGTCTTCCGTTTGTCTGTCGGCCATGACAGGTTTTTAGACCTTTCCAGGCATCTTTTCTCTCCTAAGTGCTCCTAAAATTAGCCAATCCTGTTCAAAGAATAACTGCACAGTTCCAGCTGTATGGAGTGAATTCTGCTCCATTATTGTTTCAAGCAAAGCACGTTTTGTAAAGTTAAAAATGAAAAAAAAGAAAAAAAAGAAAAACTTCTGAATCAAGAAAAGTTTTAAAAATTTCTTCAAGTGAAGATGCATTTCTATTGGTCTGCTGGACTTTGGCAACAACTCTTTTATAAAATAGAAGGAAGGATATCAGTAACGCTGTTGTGGCTTTAAAATAATTCCTACCTGATGACGGTTTAGTTTGCCTCCATTTCTGGCTGCATGCTTTTGTCTGTTTGGTTTGATGTTTACTTTAAGCCTGCATGGATCAGATCAGTGATGGGAACCAGAACCGATCAAAGCTAAACATTCCTGGGAAATACCAGCCTGTGAATTACTGATGTCTCCCTCTGCAGCCGGCTGGGATCTGGAGCAGGCTACCAGGGCTAATGCATGATCAGGAACTTCTGGGTGGATGCTGACATTAAATATTCATTTCCAGCTAAATACACATTGAAATATTTCAATAAAACCATTGTTTAGTAATTGGCTGTTAAATCTGATGTAGAAACCTACATTATTGCATGTTATTAATATAAGCCAACATTTGTCAAAGCAAAAGGCACATAAACACACATCAGAGGAGTTTCACTCATCCCTGAGCAGCCGAAACGTTTTCATCACTAACTTAGAAACGCAATCAAACTCCAATAACCAGATCAGTTGCTCTGATTGGCAGAAAACATATTTACACTAAATTAATACTGTCTGCAGCAGTAATAGAAAACCACAGACCTGTAGTATTACACAGTACAGAAAATATTAGACCAGTTTAAACAGTTTCCAGGCTGTCAGAACGGCCACCTAAATTCTAACTCTAATCCATAAACCCTAATTTCTAAACTCTAACCATTAATCCCTAACCCCTCTATAGAGCACTATAGGAGTTGCACTTTTCTATGAGTGTATAAACATCTAGTCGATGAAAAAGTAGTTGACTAAAAATTTCCCACAATGCACCTTGAAAAGTAGTGATCATCCATGGTCACTAGATGAGCACATATATCCCAGAATGCTTTGCAAGCTGCAAGTATCATGGGATTTGTTGTTGGGTTGAGAGAGAACACAGATGGTGCCTGAAAAGCAGTGATCACCTGTCAGTTCACTATATAGTTCATTATATAGTCCCTGCTCTATAAAGTGATGCAGGGGTCAGAGGTCAGAGCAATCAGTGATGGAGTCAAAGCTCAGAACTTACAGAAAAATAAAAACAACTTCCTGACCAGTTACTAGCTTAATAACTATGGAAGAACAGGAGAGGAAAAACAAACGGACGTTTAATCAAGCAATTCAAAGCCAATCAAAACGGTTTAAAAGCCAATATTTCTGAACTTCTCTTTCCGACCCAGAAGTTCCTGCCTCTGTGGGTCCATGGCCTCCTGGAGCAGGTTCTGTTCTTATTGTAGCTGTTGGGTCTGCGTTCTTCACTCCATTCATAGTCCTGTTGATCCAGAAGATTCTCCTGTCTCTATATTGACCGTTTTTTACCTGTTTGTCTTCTGTCCACCTTCTCCCACCTTGTTGAAACTGACCTTTTTCTACCCTTTGGTTTCCCTCTTCCTCTCCTTTCATCCTCGTCCCGATTTTATCTTTTCTTCTGTCTTTCTGACCTGATTGCTTCCTGCTCTACGTTATTACCGCTCCATCCCCAATCGGTGCCTCTGCAGGGGAAAGTGGCGCAGACGGCGTGCATGTCGGCCTGTAAGCATCTGTCCACGTCGTTAATGCAGATGCTCCTCGACTCAGAGCTCAAGCAGATCAGCATGGGAGCCATTCAGCAGTTCAACCTGGATGTCATGCAGTGTGAACGTGAGCAGGAACATTCGCACTCTAAAAGACAGCACACATTCAATCCACATCAAATCAATTTCACCTTTTTACACTTTTTTATGGGGGGACTTTTGTCCTGTTATTGTTGCAAGCAAAGAACATAAAAAAAGCAATCCAGAATAACTTTGCTGTTTTCCCAGGTTTTGAACAGATTACATTTCCTTCCCTTTGGAGGGCGGGAGGAAAGACGCATTTCTATTGGTCTGCTGGAAATAATATTTTTATTGCTGGGGCGTTAGGATTTGGCTGGAAGTGAAGGGAATATGATCTGGAAAACACAGTTTGGAAAGAATGAAATTTATAAAACTGAAAAATTAGACTATGAAAACAAGAAGAATTGAAAACATACAATTTGAAGATATGCAATCTGTATAAGAAAATTTTTAAAAACTTGAAAAATTAAATCTGAGAAAAAAACTCAAACCTTTTTTTGATTGAAAGAAAAACAAAATATCATTTTTGGATTGCTTAATGACGTAGCAAAATTCACTTCATAGATTTTAAGTTTATTTATACTCCTGTTATATTGGGAAAAAATATATATGACATATTATTTGTGTATGATATATATATTTATGGTATATTTCAGTTTTGTTGAAGCGTTATGACATTAAAACAATAAATGATGGATGTTATTTATATATAAAACAGCAATATGTTCGATTTTAGGAGCATTTATGTGTGAAACTGATGAGGTGATGAGGAAGGATGCTCTGATTTTTCCACCATTCAGAAACTGTCAACATTCAGTAAAAACATTTAGACATTTTATTTAAAGGCCTCTGTTCTCAAAAAAATGGCCATAGAAGTGTAGAAGCCCTGTGTTTCCATGGCAACAGGTATTTATCAGTCTCGTTTTTAGCGGTTTCCATGTTTCAGGACGGTTATTTGCTGTTTAACCTGGATATTTCTAACGTCAGGCTGTGTCTCTGGTTGTTCTCAGTGTTTGCCAGCTCAGAACCTGTACCAGGCTTCCAGGGCGACACGCTCCAGCTGGCCTTCATCGACTTACGACAGGTAAACCAATCGCCTTCCAACAATCCTTATCAGTTACTGTGGAAGCAGGAGGAAACATGGAGGCTGACAACAACCGCTATGCTTCGGTTTGAAGAAGGTTTTAGTGGCTTTTCCTAAAAGTAATAATCTCTGCATCTACACTACCGTTCAAAAGTTTGGGGTCACATTGAAATGTCCTTATTTTTGAAGGAAAAGCACTGTACTTTTAAATGATGATAACTTTAAACTAGTATTAACTTTAAAGAAATACACTCTAAACATTGGTAATGTGGTAAATGACTATTCTAGCTGCAAATGTCTGGTTTTTGGTGCAATATCTACATAGGTGTATAGAGGCCCATTTCCAGCAACTATCACTCCAGTGTTCTAATGTGTTTGCTCATTGGCTCAGAAGGCTAATTGATGATTAGAAAACCCTTGTGCAATCATGTTCACACATCTGAAAACAGTTTAGCTCGTTACAGAAGCTACAAAACTGAGCTTCCTTTGAGCAGATTGAGTTTCTGCAGCATCACATTTGTGGGGTCAATTAAACGCTCAAAATGGCCAGAAAAAGAGAACTTTCATCTGAAACTCGACAGTCTATTCTTGTTCTTAGAACTGAAGGCTATTCTATGCGAGAAATTGCTAAGAAATTGAAGATTTCCTACAACAGTGTGTACTACTCCCTTCAGAGGACAGCACAAACAGGCTCTAACCAGAGTAGAAAAAGAAGTGGGAGGCAACGTTGCACAACTGAGCAAAAAGATAAGTACATTAGAGTCTCTAGTTTGAGAAACAGACGCCTCACAGGTCCCCAACTGGCATCTTCATTAAATAGTACCTGCAAAACACCAGTGTCAACATCTACAGTGAAGAGGCGGCTGCGGGATTCTGGGCTTCAGGACAGAGTGGCAAAGAAAAAGCCACATCTGAGACTGGCCAATAAAAGAAAAAGATAAAGATGGGCAAAAGAACACAGACATTGGAGACTGGAACAAAGTGTTGTGGATGGATGAATCCAAGTTTGAGGTGTTTGGATCACAAAGAAGAACGTTTGTGAGACGCAGAAGAAATGAAAAGATGCTGGAAGAATGCCTGACGCCATCTGTTAAGCACGGTGGAGGTAATGTGATGGTCTGGGGTTGCTTTGGTGCTGGTAAGGTGGGAGATTTGTACAGGGTGAAAGGGATTCTGAATAAGGAAAGCTATCACTCCATTTTGCAATGCCATGCCATACCCAGTGGACAGCGCTTGGTTGGAGCCAATTTCATCCTACAACAGGACAATGACCCTAAACACACCTCCAAATTGTGCAAGAACTAATTAGAGCAGAAGCAGGCAGCTGGTATTCTATCGGTAATGGAGTGGCCAGCGCAGTCACCAGATCTGAACCCCATGGAGCTGTTGTGGGAGCAGCTTGACCGTATGGTACGCAAGAAGTGCCCATCCAACCAATCCAACTTGTGGGAGCTGCTTCTGGAAGCGTGGGGTGCAATTTCTCCAGATTACCTCAACAAATTAACAGCTAGAATGCCAAAGGTCTGCAATAATTGCTGCAAATGGAGGATTCTTTGATGAAAGCAAAGTTTGATGTAAAATAAATCTTATTTCAAATACAAATCTATTTCCTATTCATTTCACAATGTATGGTGGTGAATAAGTGTGGCTTTTCAGGAAAACACAAAATTGTTTGGGTGAACCCAAAATTTTGAACGGTAGTCTATATGGACCAGATTCTGTTGGTAAACACAGCAGCGTACCGGAAGCTGGATGGGGGGGGGGGGGGGGGGGGGGGGGGGGGCACAGCAGGAGGCAAGAAAAAAACTTCAATAATAGAGCGAATTTTGTTCCACTATTGCTGCCAGCAAGTAAGCTGTGCTTATAATAATAATAATTATTGAACCTAATAGATCTCACATTGGAGAAATTTACTTCTGCATTTAACCCATCTCCTTCGGAGCAGTGGGCTGCCATTGTGCGGGGTAAAGGGTCTTGCTCAGGGACCCAGAGTGGCAGGCTGTGGGAGTGGTGCTTTGGTCCACGGAACGAACAAATATATGTGCCAGAGTTTAACGGGTGGCTGAATGCTCACGGGTTCTCCTGTTCTGCAGGTCCTAGACCTGTTCATGGTTTGGGATTGGTCCACCTACCTGGCCGACTATGGGCAGCCGAACTCCAAGTACCTGAGAGTGAACCCAGCTACCGCTCTGGCTCTGCTAGAAAAGTAAGTGGGCAGACGCAGGAAGGACTGCTGGGTGGGGTACAGGCTCAGCAGGTTGGTTTCCACCAGAAATGAAGAAGCCTTTTAGGATGGGTTCTGATGGAATCCAACCTGAAGCTGAACTTCTACAGAGCTGCTCTGTTTGAGGGAAGACATCAGAGGGAAGGAGACGCTGTTTAAACTAAGTGGACCTGAGGTGGGAGAGTCGCAGTGTGAGCTCTGGGTTCTGGGGACTTCTGCCTCTCAGGGTTTCCAAGCTGCTCTTCTGTTCCTCTAAAGCTTTTTTTCTTCTTCTGTTTCCCTGCTGCTGCTGCTGCTGCTGCTGCTCAGAGTCTACCGAGGGTAGGTCACAGTTTAGCTGCATGCTCAGGTTCACCATCACTGTCAGATTTCTTCTTCCTCCATGGTGCCGTTCATCACGGCGCCCAGCAGGTTTCATTTACATGGAAATCATGTTAATGTTTCGCAGCGCCAGAAACCAGACTGGAGAATTATGGAGGGAATATCCTTCCGTTATTATTGTAAAAACATTTTTAGATTCAAATTTGAAGAAAAAAAAAACGATCTAGAAAGGAAACTTTCAGAAAATAAATTGGGATTAGCTTTGATGTTTTCTCAGATTTCGTTCGTTAAAATTTATTGTCTCAGATTTATTTTTTATATTTCCTATTTTTAATTAATTTTTCCCCCCAAATGTAGTTTTTATTATTTTAATAGTTTTTTTTTATATTTTTCAAATTTCTCTTTTTCAGATTGAGTTTTGTGAATTGCACTCTTCAATTCAGTTTATTTCTATAGCGCCAATTCAAATCATGTCAGGTCACTTTATAGATCCAGATCAACCAGACCATCCAGTCTGATTGGTTCAAAGTTTTCTGTCTACAGAAAACCAGCTGATTGTTTTTCAGTGTAGTCCTGTTTCTCTGACTGTGACTAACTGGATGTTCTCTCTTCATCCTCTGACATGGGAATTGGCTTTGAGCTCGTCTGCCAGGCCGCCTGTGGAGCTGGTTGACAGTTGCCTTTTGTATCTATTCTTCTTTTTCTATGTCTGCTTCTGTCTCCTTGAACCCCAGTCGGCCTCAGCAGATGGCCACTCACACTGAGCCTGGTTCTGCTGGAGGTTTCTTCCTGTTCAAAGGGAGTTTTTCCTCTCCACTGTCGCAACAAGCATGCTTAGTGTGAGTCAATGAGTCGATGCAATCAGCTGGTTTTTCTTAGAAAACTTTGAATCAATCTGACTGGATAATCTGGTTTATCTGGATCTATAAAGGTACTTGAGATGACATGTTGTGAATTTGCGCTATAGAAATAAACAGAATAGAATTGAACTTCCAGTAGTTTAATACTGTAGGCAAAAAAAACTGTGTTAGATAAAACCAACTCCATAAACCTCCAGTCTGCTGCCCCCTTCTGATCTAAAGGTGAAAACCTTCATAATCTGCGTGGTTAAACACAGATGAATGATTGCTGTGATTCCATTAGATTCTCTGGAGGCAGCCGCCATCCTGCTGCGGCCATGAAGCAACCATCTCTACATCTGATGTTTGAAGCAGTGTTTGCTCAGAGTCCGGTCCGACCCGTCTGGACCAGAACCCTGACAGCCTTTCTTTCTGTTTCCAGAATGAAGGACACCAACAAGAAGAATAACATCTTCTCCCAGTTCAGGAAGAACGACAGAGACAAGCAGAAGCTGATAGAGACGGTGGTGAAACAGCTGAGGAGTCTGGTCAACGGCATGTCCTCCTAAAACTTGCAGCAAACACGCCTCATCTCATGTGCAATATCCTCACGCTAGGAGGGAAACACGCATGCATCGGCCCGACCCAAAAAGACTGGTTCTGATCTGCCACAGAGCTACTCTATGCAGGCATCTAACATATGAACAGCTTAGAGACCCTTCCTGCCTGCATGCTCAGCTGCAGAACCAGAACCTGGAGAAGTTCTGCTCGCACCCCAACTATCAACTGCACAGGGACTATTTATTAGCTGCTCTTTAGAGACTAAATGTTTTCTACATTTTTTTTGTGGCGTGAATCAATTGAAGCTGTGATCTGATACAGGAAGTGACATCATCATCATAGGTCCAAACTTTCAGAACCAAACCTAAAAAAGGAGCGTCGTGGTCTGTTTCTGTGGCTCTGCTGGGAGGAACCGAGAAGATTAATCTGGAAACAGAACCACAACATTTCACTCATTCATACTTTATAGATCTTTGAGAGTCAGATCCGACCCGTCAAAACCAGAACTGAACCCATTAGCATCGTACCCCAACCTGTTAGCATCAGAACCCAACCTGTTAGCATCAGAACCCAACCCGTTAGCATCAGAACCCAACCCACTAGCATCAGAACCCAACCCGCTAGCATCAGAATAGAGTCCTGCAACTGGTCGGGTACCCTCAGGTCCCCGACGGGTCACCCGCTAAAATGCTCTTTTGCGGGTGAAAAATACATAAATAAAAATAAACGGGTCGGGGGTCGGGCGGATATTTTTTTAGTGCGGGCGGGTAGTTGGTGATTTTTATTTTATGCGTGTGTGTTGTTATGGATATCAGAAATGTTATATTAATCAGGCACTGGGGTCACCCTTGTAGCTTAAAGCCCTGCCGGCAGTGTGGGCTTCCCTCCAAAAAGGCCACAGTCGGTGCATACACGTCTGCTGCAGTGTTAATGGCGCTGTTCTGCAGCGCAGCGTACTATAGCCTATTACTTGATGTGTTAACGGGTTGGGTTGCGGGTTAAATATCAACAGGTCGGGTTCGGATTTGAATTGAAGATATCCGCGGGTGACGGGTCGGGTTCGGTAGTCATCCTAACGGGTTCGGGCGGGTGCGGGCTGGTAAAACTCGACCCGTGCAGGACTCTACATCAGAACCCTACCTGTTAGCATCAGAACCCAACCTGTTAGCATCAGAACCAACCTGTTAGCATCAGAACCCAACCCGTTAGCATCAGAACCCAACCCGTTAGCATCAGAACGCAACCCGCTAGCATCAGAACCCAGCTCGTTAGCATCAGTAACAAACCTGTTAGCATCAGAACCCAACCCGTTAGCATCAGAACCCAACCCATTAGCATCAGAAACCAACCTGCTAGCATCAGAACCCAACCTGTTAGCATCAGAACCCAACCTGCTAACTTCAGAACCCAGCTCGTTAGCATTAGACCCCAACTCGTTAGCATCAGAATCCAACCTGCTAACATCAGAACCCAGCTCGTTAGCATCAGAACCCAACTTGTTAGCATCAGTACCAATCCCGTTAGCTTCAGAACCAGACTCGTTAGCATCAGTACCAAACCTGTTAGCATCAGAACCAGACTCGTTAGCATCAGAACCCAACCTGCTAGCATCAGAACCCAACCTGCTAGCATCAGATCCCAACCTGTTAGCATCAGAATCCAACCTGCTAACTTCAGAACCCAACTCGTTAGCATTAGACCCCAACTCGTTAGCATCAGAATCCAACCTGCTAACATCAGAACCCAGCTCGTTAGCATCAGAACCCAACTTGTTAGCATCAGTACCAATCCCGTTAGCTTCAGAACCAGACTCGTTAGCATCAGTACCAAACCTGTTAGCATCAGAACCAGACTCGTTAGCATCAGAACCCAACCTGCTAGCATCAGAACCCAACCTGCTAGCATCAGATCCCAACCTGTTAGCATCAGAATCCAACCTGCTAACTTCAGAACCCAACTCGTTAGCATTAGACCCCAACTCGTTAGCATCAGAATCCAACCTGCTAACATCAGAACCCAGCTCGTTAGCATCAGAACCCAACTTGTTAGCATCAGTACCAATCCCGTTAGCTTCAGAACCAGACTCGTTAGCATCAGTACCAAACCTGTTAGCATCAGAACCAGACTCGTTAGCATCAGAACCCAACCTGCTAGCATCAGAACCCAACCTGCTAGCATCAGATCCCAACCTGTTAGCATCAGAACCCAACCTGCTAGCATCAGAACCCAACCTGCTGGCATCAGAACCCAACTCGTTAGCATCAGAACCCAACCTGCTAGCATCAGAACCCAACCTGCTAACATCAGAACCCAACTCGTTAGCATCAGAACCCAACCTGCTAGCATCAGAACCCAACCCGTTAGCATCAGAACAGAACTAACGATAACGCTAAATCTACTAACGCTAGCATCTCATTCATTCAAAACCCAAAATTCTGCATTTAGTCAGACAGAAAGTAGGCGGAGTCTCTTTGTTTGTGTAAAATTAATAATTTGTTGTGGATCTTTGAAAGTTGGACTGGTTCATTCCTGTGTGTGTGTGTTCTCCTATTTTGGCATCAGAGTGAGGACCGTTCCTCAGATTTACCATTGAAACTATGTGACGCCGAAAGCAACATGGCCGCCCCTCATCCATTCAATACAGGTTAAATACAGTCCCGGCATGGGCAGGCACTACAGACACCACCTGGTCAGAACCAGACCCTCATCAGAACCAGATCCTCATCAGAACCATCAGAACCAGACCCTCATCAGAACTATCAGAACTAGAGCTTCTTTAAACATTTCATAGCAGCGTTTTTGCACAGTTCTGTTTATTTATTGGTTAGACGCCATTAAAACTCTTAATTCATTCTTTCAATAATTTATCACATTTTAATTTAAATCTATTAATGAACCACCTTTTTATTTCAGAAACCTTTTTGGACCTAAGTTATTGAATAAGTAAACATTTAAGCACAGAAACTCAAACTCAAACATTTATAGTTTTTTTCTTTACCATTAGATTGGATGGTTGAAGGTTTTAATCTTTTAGTTTTTTTTTAGAAACCCTCTGATATTTTATGCAACATTTTTAAAAACAAAAAGTGAGCAATCCATGAATTGAAAAAATATAATGAGGCATTAAAATAGTTAGAGATAAGCGGAGTGAGATGCATTTCTATTGGTCTGCTGGATGTTAGCAGCACTTTGATTGGTCCAGAAAAACTTCCTCTTAAAACCTTTGATTTAGAAATGCGTTTAAATATTTAATTTCTGGATAAATTTGTTTTTTTCAAATTCACTCCATACAGGAGGGACTGAAATAAAAGCTGTTTTTTAAAAATGATTTTTTATCATTTGTCAGTTATATTATGAAAGTAAAGAAAGAGAAAATAAATGATCAATGGGAGTCCTCACTACAGATGGCAAGATCAGAGTGTGTGCATGTGTTTGGGGGGGCGGGGTCAACGTGTTCTCCACTTCCTGTTGTGTATCAGCTGTGCAGATGTGAATGATGACGTCCAGATGACTGATGTTCATATAAAAACTGCTGACTTCTCCACTTCCTGTTTTCTTTATTCCTGCCTGCTTTATTTTTACTCCCATCAGCCATCTTTGCTGAGTCATGTTCTCAGGATGAACAGCGGATGTTTTTCTTCTAATTGTTTCACAGCTGAATTATAATCCCTAAAAAAGTGGGGTTTTTTCTTATTGTTCCTCAGAAGCCTTAAATTAAACTCCGCCCCCTCAGTGAAGTATCGTGATCTAAATGCTAACAGAACATCGAAAAGGATTGATGGTGCAGAAAAGTTTCTAATTCTCTTTCTCAAAGATGGAATAAAGGCTACCATGTCTTCTAATCGTGTCACCAGTTCCTCCCTACTGGTCCCAGTAGAGCTTCCTGTTCTGGGTGTCAGGTCTCCACCAGTTGAACCAGTAAGATGCAGGGCAGTCATCATAGTCTCCTCCTCTCTGACCCCCCCGGGAGGAAACTTCAGGTGGATGTAAATCTGCGCAGGTTTGATGGGTTTATTAAAAAAAAAAAGTTTCTTATCATTTTCTTGTCTTTATCTTTATTAAATATTAATATGATAATATTTAGTTTAATTGAGTTTAATTGTAGCATCCATGCTTTTCTGGCATTAATAAAACCCTGAAGACAAGAAGCGAACAAACTCCCAGACAGCACCAGCAGATGGCGACTATATGCAGTCTGACCAGGGGGGTAATATGGAGCTAAATTAAGGCCAGAAAGATTTTTTTTTTTTTTAACTGGAAAAAAATTCATATGTAAAATAATTCTGTAGATAAAAGAATCTGAACCTGGAAAAAACAAGACTGAAAAAAGTTAAAACAAAAAAAAAATGTCTAAAACTTTTTCACTCTTAAGTTTTTTTTCAGTTTCTGTGTTTTTTAATATTTCGTTCAGGAATCCACGTCATCTAAGCCCTGCCCCCACACTGAGAGGGAAATAGTTTCAAACTGAAAAAAAACTTCTAAAACGTTTTTTTCTCTGCAAGGTTCTGGTTTTAACAGTTTAGATCTTTTCTATGGCCTCCGTTTATCTCCACACCATCTTGGAGCCTGGTTCTGCCTCTCCACCCTCCCTCACTGGCAAACAGCAGATGAACTTTGCCCTCCATCAGTGTCTGAATGGGAAGATCCCCGTCGCCACAGATGTAATGAAGCGAGAGACATTAGCAGAGCTCCATTATCGCTGGACGGAGGTCGCCCTGCTGGGACACACACTTTCACACACGCTGCCTCTGAGGCTCACTGTGAAACTTTCACCTCTACTGTCACATGATCATCTGCATACAGTCGTATTCAGTCAGGGTTCCAGTGAGGCCCGGTGGACAGACCAACAGAACCCTGGGAAAATAACAAGCTCTAAGTACGTCTGCTTTTCATTACACCCACATTACTGACAAAACATTTTACCTGCATTCATCCATTCACTCTGACCAATCCCCAGTGTTGGGCACGTTACTTTGAAAAAGTAATTAGTTATAGTTACTAGTTACTTCTCCCAAAAAGTAACTGAGTTACTAACTGAGTTACTCCACAATAAAAGTAACTAGTTACTAGTAAAAGTAACTATTGCGTTACTTTTGCGTTTCTCACCCCCGTAACCCTCCCCACCCAGCCCCCACCTTCTCGCTGTGTGTTTCCAAAGCCAGCTGAATAGAGCGGACGACAAAGACAAGAACCTGCAGAGAGTTTAGCGCCATGTGAAGTTTTTTAACAGGGCGTTCAGATCTGGTGAAATTAATGACTGGGGATGTCTAATTCTGAAATCCTGTGTGTTTGGGTTGTTATAGATACTGCAACATCTATCTATCTATCTATCTATCTATCTATCTATCTATCTATCTATCTAGATGTATACTCTGTGTGTGACATAAAATATGGATTTCCATCCCTGCCACAAAGGCCATCAAATAATGTTTAAAATAAAAAATACAGTAGGTTGAAAAGTCAGAGTATCCATCCATCCATCCATGCATGCATCCATGCATGCATTCATCCATCCATCCATCCATCCATCCATCCATCCAAGCATCCAGATTTCTCCCTTTCTCCATATAGGCTATCATTTCTGACTGTTATCAGGTTAATCATTTGATCGTTCACGCTCTCCATAGTTCTCCTGTGGCGCGAGCACAGGGCGACTGTTGCGCGCCTTTAGCGAGCATGCGCGTTTCCTGTCGCTTGCGCTGTGACTCTTGTCGCCTGCGCTGTGCGGAGATGCAGAGGAAACCGTATCTGATGAGGAAACGCAGCTCGACGTAACACCGGTATTTCCATCAGGAAAAAGCTGTTTTGCTGCTGGAGTCCTCCTCACTCTCCATCTCTCTGTGTGTGCTGTACGTTAACACCCGCCAGCAGAAACACCCACCTACCCAACTGACAGACGGAATCTCACCATACATCAGCCATTCTCATCCTCCCCTCTCTCATGACAAGGCGCGCACCTCTGGATGACCTAAAAAATAATCTCTAATATCTGTTAAACAAAAGTAGCACAAACAATATTTTTTTCTGCACAAATCTGCACTAACGTTGCACTAACCATTCAGTCTATTTGCAGAGTTTTTTGACGTGGGTGGGGTGTCAGCTTCACGCAGCAGCGCACGAGTCCTATCATGAAAAAAGGTTCATAGTGCGACCTGAGTAACGCGCAGTAACGGGGTGTCTGCAATGGTAACTGCATTATAGTTACAGTCAAAGTAATTAGTTAGATTACTCGTTACTAAAACAAGGTAACGGCGTTAGTAACGCCGTTACTTTCAACGCCGTTAGTCCCATCACTGCCAATCCCCTTGGCTTTGGAGCTGCCTGCAGCCTGAACCTCCATTCTGGAGTCCATTGCTCAGCTTATTGGTAGGTAGGGTTGGGAATTGAAAAGATTTTCACGATTCCGATTCCCTTTTCGATTCTATGAAACGATTCGATTCTTTATCGATTCTTTTTTCGATTCCAATTTGGGGGAAAAAGGAGAACAAACAGTTTGATTATCAGAATCAACTTTGTTTACTTAACTATTGCACAATCTTACAAAATCAACAAGATCAAGATGGCCACAGGAAATGTGAAACTGGAGTAACATCTGTGTTTAAATGAAAAATGAATACAAGAACAAACTTAATAACAAACAATGTCTAATAACAAATGATGGGATTATAACCTATTTTAAATAACAAAAAGTACTAATTATAAAACAGTAGTAGGGAAAATTAACAGTTCTTTTGCAGAAAGATGAGCATATCTGCTTTTTCTGGAAGGATACGGGATCTTTCAGCGCTTATGGTGTCTCCAGCCGTGGAGAACACCCTCTCAGATGGGGTGGAGGAAGCCTGCACACAGAGGTAGTTTTCAGCCAGTCCAGATAGCAAGGGCAGCACATCTTGCTTGTTCCACCACCACAGTGTGGCGCTATCCCTGCAGGGGATGGAGGGCAAGCTTTTATAGAGCTGGATTTCCTGATCTACCCTCTGGGCTAAGGAAAGACGGGGCTTTGATTCACAAAGTGACCGCAGCTCGTTGTCTTCCTCCTCGAATAGTTCTTCCAACTTGCGTAACTTGCGTAAGTTGCGTAAGCTGCGTAACGTACGTAAAAAACGTGACGTAAGTCGTGCTCCCCAGAGCCGGCGCGCTAGGCTCTGTTGCTGCGGGAATCGAAAAAAGAATCGTTCAGCGAGCTGCCAAACGATGCCATGGAATCGAAAAATACGGAACCGGTTCTTAACAGGAACCGGTTTTCGATTCCCATCCCTATTGGTAGGTGCTGCAATTAAGCATCCTGAGATGAAACGAAGGTGAAAAGGAGGCACAGAGAAACTGCAAAAACCAACAAGAAACATTTGTCCTTTGAGCTCCTGCAGCCAAATGTGGAAAAATAGGATCAACATCTCCCATTGCTGATGAGAGCTCAGCTGGGCTGCTGCCAGAACCATCAGCAGGAATGATTTTATGGGATTCTTTATAAATAAGATTGATCTTCTTAAAAATAAGATCATTAGCACTCCTCTATCCGTGATTAGTTTGTCTGTGGAGGGTGGGGCAGCATCTGAGGTAGTCATGGAATCTGAACCGGGTTTAGACTGCTTTGATCCAGTTGAACTTTCAGAGTTAGCAAAACTATTGTCTTCATCTAAGCCTTCAACTTGGATTTTAGATCCAGTTCTAACCAGGTTATTTAAGGAGGTTTTCCCTTTGATCTCCTCCTCCATTTTAGATGTGATTAATCTATCTCTGTTACAGGGATATGTACCTAAAGCTTTTAAGGTTGCTGGAATTAAACCTCTGCGTAAGAAACCGTCTCTTGACCCAGATGATTTGGTCAATTATAGACCTATATCCAATCTTCCTTTCTGATCTAAAATTCTTGAGAAAGTAGTTGCCAAACAAGTGTGCGATCACTTACACCATAATGAACTTTTTGAAGAGTTTCAGTCTGGCTTTAGAGCTCATCATAGCACTGAAACAGCTCTGGTGAAAGTCACTAATGATATTCTAATGGCCTCAGATAATGGACTTGTATCTGTGCTCGTCCTGTTGGATCTCAGTGCTGCATTTGATGCAGTTGATCATAATATTCTTTTAGAAAGACTTGAAGATTTTGTTGGAATTAAAGGAACAGCACTAGACTGGTTTAAATCTTATCTGAACTCTTTGTTCACGTTAATGACAAATCTTCCACATGCTTAAAGGTTACCTGTGGAGTACCACAGGGATCAGTGCTAGGACCGATTCTCTTTACTTTATACATGCTCCCAATCGGTAGAATTATTAGACAGCATGGGATTAATTTCCACTGTTATGCTGATGATACCCAGCTATATCTGTCTATAATCCAGATGAAGCTAACCCATTACATAGATTACAGACATGTCTGAAGACATAAAAACCTGGATGACTCTTAACTTTCTCCTTCTGAATGCAGACAAAATAGAAGTTATAGTCTTTCTGGGATCCTAATATTTTCTCCCGACGTCCTTTTAACATAAATCACGTCTTTTCAGCCAATCTTTTGCTGGGTGGGGTAAATGCCGTCCTACA